AGGTTCTGACGGGCCGGTTCATGTATGGGCCCCTGGACATGGTTACCCTGACCGGGGAGAAGGTAAAGACACACCTGGCCGGGGAGAAGGTGGGAGCCCCCTGCCTCGCCTTCCTCTAGCTGGGGTAAGGGGAAGCCAGGGGCTCAGCCCACTCATGACCAGCCTGCCCGGGCTCCCAGGTGGATGTGCACATCATGATGCAGCCGCCCTCAGGTGAGTGGCTGTACCTGGACACTCTGGTGACCAATAGCAGCGGGCGCGTCTCCTACACCATCCCCGAGACTCACCGCCTGGGCGTGGGTGTCTACCCTGTCAAGATGGTGGTCAGGTATGCACCTCTGGGGGGTGAGCAGGCCAGGCCGGCCTCCTCTGGGGCATGAGGAAGGGGGCCTGGTGGGTTCTGACGAGCTGCCGCCTCCTCCCAGGGGAGACCACACATTTGCTGACAGCTACATCACCGTGCTGCCCAAAGGCACAGAGTTTGTGGTCTTCAGCATCGATGGCTCCTTTGCCGCCAGCGTGTCCATCATGGGCAGTGACCCCAAAGTGCGGGCTGGGGCCGTGGACGTGGTGCGGTGAGTGGCCCCAAGGGGCACGGTGGGCAGGCTCAGAGGCAGGAAGCTCCTGGAGGCCAGAGCAGGGGATGTTGGGCAGGGAACCTGGGGCTTGAGGAGCCAGCCCCACCACTTACTAGCTGTGACCTCTTGACACTGATGCCTCAGTTCCCTCATCTGGGAAGTGGGGCTACGAACCTAACAAGAGCAGGTACAGCTGCTGCAGGGGTGTTTGCGGGGGTTGTGTGACCTAAGCCATGAGCATCACATACATAGCCTGATCAGAGATGCACTCCAATGGCCCACCTGGGGACTGGTTGGGCAAAGAGACAGGGCAGCCCAGGAGGGAGGAGGGGGTGGCCGTGGGACACCCAGGCCTGCCCCTCGCCCCCAGGCACTGGCAGGACCTGGGCTACCTCATCATCTATGTGACGGGCCGGCCCGACATGCAGAAGCAGCGGGTGGTGGCATGGCTGGCCCAGCACAACTTCCCCCATGGCGTGGTGTCTTTCTGTGACGGCCTAGTGCACGACCCGCTGCGGCACAAGGCCAACTTCCTGAAGCTGCTCATCTCTGAGGTGGGTCCCGGGTGGAAGGGATAGCGACAAGGGGGTGGGGGCGGAAGGGCCACACCTGTGCCCACACTGCTCTCGCCCACAGCTGCACCTGCGCGTGCACGCGGCCTACGGCTCCACCAAGGATGTGGCGGTCTACAGCTCCATCAGCCTGTCCCCCATGCAGATCTACATCGTGGGCCGGCCCACCAAGAAGCTTCAGCAGCAGTGCCAGGTGAGTGGGCAAATCGTGGTGGGTGGCACAGGTGGACAGCCTTGGGAGCCCGCCCCGGGACAGCTATCCTCCTCACTGCCCCTCCCCTGCAGTTCATCACAGATGGCTACGCGGCCCACCTGGCCCAGCTCAAGTACAACCACCGGGCACGGCCAGCCCGCAACGCGGCCACCCGCATGGCACTGCGAAAGGGCAGCTTCGGCCTGCCTGGCCAGGGTGATTTCCTGCGCTCCCGGAACCACCTGCTCCGCACCATCTCAGCCCAGCCCAGCGGGCCCGGCCACCGGCATGAGCGGACACAGAGCCAAGCGGACAGCGAGCAGCGGGGCCAGCGCAGCATGAGCGTGGCGGCCAGCTGCTGGGGCCGCACCATGGCTGGCCGGCTGGAGCCGGGGGCAGCCGCGGGCCCCAAGTAGGGCACCGTCAGCGAGGCGCTGTGGTCTCCATGGTGCTAGGCCAGGGCGGCCAGCCCCGCCAGGAGGCCTGGCCTGGGCACACACACTCGGCTGGGGACCAGCTTGTCCCAGGGCCTGGCGGAGGACATGGGCCTTGCCACACACAGCCCTCCAGCCCTGCCTCATAATCCTAGGATCTGAGGGGTTCCAGCTTGTCACGGAAGGTGGCAGGGTGACACCAGTCCCAGGATGATGGAGGGACCAGGACCCCCCATGTGGACCGGCCTGGGCGGCACTCCTGGACATTTGCCCTGTGTTGACTTCCCAACATCGTGACACCAGGCCGGGGCCCGAGCCCAGCCTGCCACCTCCCATCCACTAGCTCGCCCTGCCCCCCAGGTCCCCTCCCACTTGGTAGCAGTTCCAACAGGGGACAGCCTGCTTCTTGTTAACTCGAGTTACTCAACTGTTCGACCTCACTGGTTTTGCACTGATTTTTGAGAGTGGAGACCCATTACCATCTCCTATGGCTACAGATTCGTTGACATGCATGAAAATTCAGTGTGTGCTGATCTAGGACCTATTGCCACACAGAAGACTCCAGGGCGGCAAATCCTCGTGCAAGCAGCAGAGAAAGGCCATATCTTAATTTCTGCAGCTCCTCCCAGCCCGCCAGCGCCGTGGCAGCCCCGGACCCCTACCCACCTGTCCTGCCCCACGTGGAGCCCAGTCCGGACGGGTCTGGTGTCATCTCCGGCCCTGGACACAGCCCAGGCAGCCAGGCTGGTGAAGCCCAGAGCTGGCTCCCACCTGAGAAGCCCCGCCTTGGGCTGCGGGGCCTGGACAGGCAGGCCTGGCCTCCTCTTCCGCTCCTCACCTGCCATCAGTCAAGGCCCCATGCCTTGGGCCCTCCCGCGTTTCTACACCTTTCTACTTCTCCGATCTGATTTCTATGAGGTTTTTTTAAATGAGCAATCCTTGGCTGCTTCCTTTTCTTAACTCTTTCAGTACCGAGCGCAGCCCCTCCACATGAAAACACCCAGCACTGTGACGGAGTCCAGCCTGGTTCTGGGTCCTAGGGCCCTGCCCCCTGCCCACGCAGTGGGGTGTGGGCTCCCTGCCTCACCTGGCCCGTTAATTCCATTGAATTTCTACTCTGGGGTGGGTGGGGCACACACTTAGGTTTTTTTAATGCCAATTCCGTTTTGATGCCGAATCTAAGAAGCCACAACTCGCTTTGTTAGCTTAAGGGCAGGCAGCCACGACTTCATTTCGCACCTGGTAAGGACCACGCTGTTCTGCACGCTGGGTCTGAGCGTCAGCCCGCCCTCCCTCCCCAGAACCGACGGCAGTCTCAGCGTGGCGCTTGGCCCCGGCTGGCCCCGCGGCTGCTCCTCCACCTCCTCCAAGGCGCGGAGCCTGCCCGGCCTCAGCCAGCCTTGCAGCAACCAACCTCCGTCTCTGAGAAGCTGTTGCCAACCTGGACACGGCCTCAGGGCCTCACGGGCCGGGGAGGCGCACAGATCTATGTCAACAGTTTTCCCGTGTGTAGATATGTACAGCCAAAGGGTCGTGTAAATGTTCTGCAAAAGTGGGCCTATACAGAGTGAAAGCTATTTATTTTGTGCAGAGAAAAAGTCTGGAGAGACAGGACGTTCAGGGTTTCTTCATATTTAAGCTGTAGCTGTTGTTTCAGGCGTTCCGTATAAAGCGATGATTACTTTAAGGACCAAGTTTTCATGCAGCTGTTGCAGCGGAAGTGCAATATCTGACCCCCTCTCCCCAGTGGGAAGTCACTTGGCCCGACAATCACAGCCCCAGCCAGGGGCCCTGTGGCCAGTGCCTCCTCTCTCGGTCCCACCTCACCCTGTCTTGCCTGCCGCCTGGGTGACCAGCCATCCGGAGAAGCGCCTGGAAGTCTCGGGCCCGCCTGCAATAAAGACCAGGAGGCCTCCTGGCCTGGGGAGACCGTGTGGGCAGTGGGCTCGGCCTCTCCCAGCGGGCAGCTCCCCCATGGTTCCACGCTCCCCGCCTGCCTGCCCAGCTGCCAGCCATGCCAAGGACAACAGCAATAGTCCCCTGGGCCTCTCCCAGTGGCCCTTAGCCATAGATGGTGAGATGGGCAGCCCCCCCCACTCCTCGTTGATGTCTCTCTTCTATATCCAAGTCTGCTTCCTGCCTCCCTTAGATTCCTTTTGGCACATTATCCTCTTGAGGAAGCACCAGTTTCTCAGAAACTAAGAGAGGGAGGACAGATTCCTTTAAAAATACCAAAAATGTTTACAGTGTTGGGTGCTGAGCTGCAGGGCTCAGGCCTGACCAGTCGTAACCAAAGGGTGAGGCAGGCCTTGCTGACTGCCACCCCCACCCCAGGCCTGTGGGCGTAGAAGCCTTAGTCCCACTCCCGCCCCACACACCCCCTGGACTGCGCCTCAGCCCGCCACCCCCAGATCTGAGCACCTGCCTTCTCTTTGATTTCTAAAGAGGGATTCAGCACAGACCCCCATGCCCCTTCCCAGCTTCGTCTGAGTTGCCTGCCTGCCCGCCACGTTGAAGTCTTCTCGTCTGGGCCCTGTTGAGTGTCAGTGTCCCGATTCGCCCCGCCCACCCTTGCTGTCCCTGCACCATCAGGCCTGTGTGTGCTCTGTGTGCATTGTCATTGTCTGTACACCAATTAAAGAAGCAGGAAGGCTTCCTTCTGGGTCTCGTTACTGCACCGACAACCAGAGCAGCCACTGGGGGTGGGGTCTGGAGTGGGGGTCCGGCCTGTTCTGTGGTGGGAGAGGCCGTCCCTTCTGGGACACGAGGCCAGCTGCACCCACTGTAGTACCAGTACTTAACGCGGGTCTTACCTTATGCTGGGCCCCCTTCTAGCCCCTTACCAGGCAGGGACTCGGTTCATTCTCACGCCAACCCATTGAGGTGGGTGCTCCTAGCCTCTCTGCTTCCCAAAGGACACAGCTAGTAAGCTGGGCCAGGATTCCCACGTGGCCCCCGTGCCAGGAACAGTCTCCCTCCCAACCTGAGGGAATCGGATCTAAGAGCCAAGTCTCTGGGTTTGGGATTCGGCTGGGGGCGGGGTCTGGTCCGGGCAGGCTGATCTGAGGATGTGCAAGGCAAAGGTGGCCAGTGTGGCCTGTGCGCATGACCACCAGGACACACCCTGGCTTTCCCAGAAGCTCCTAGAGTCCTGTTTTTCCCCTGGAAGTCAGGTAGCAGCCTTCTCTCCCCCTCAGCACAAAAAACAGCAGGACAGAGAAAGTCTGCAACCAAGGAACGTTTAATATCTAGAGAGCTGTACTCTTTCGGGAGCCAAGGGAGCTGATTAGGCCAGTGACCCTGTCCTCCACCCCCTGCATCTGAGAGGAGGCTGGGCCAGAGGCTCGTGCACAGAAAAGGCAAACAGCACCCATCGGGCTCCCTCCTGCCCACGCTGAGGCCAGCCTCCAGACCAAGCCACCAACACATCCACAGGCCTTGGCCAGCGGGGCCCTCAGGGCAGCAGCCCCGCTCGCAACTGGAAGCCCAGGCCATCCCCTCGGGTGGCTTGCTGGGGAAGAAAGCACACAGGAGGGGGGACATCAGAAACAGAGCTGAGGGTGGGCCCAGGGCAAAGGGACGATACCCACCTTGTTGATCTCTCTGTGTCGTTCCTTGGTTACGATTTCTTCTAAGACCTCACCGTCTCCCTTAATGAGCCTGGGAGAGTCGGGGAGCAGGCTGAACCCCTAATGCCAGAGCAGCAGAACCGGAACCAGCCGGCATAGGGGTGACAGGCCTCAGGTCCCCACTCCTCCCTCTCGCCCACCCTTGGGGCAAGGATAGAGGCGGCCAACAGCAGCCCTTTGAAGACCTCAAGGCCTTTCCAGCCCTTGCAATTGCTTACTCTGGGCAGCGGGGAGGAACGGCCTGAGAAGTCTCATCCACAAGTGACTAGATCTCCCCCCGCCTTGGCCTTTTTAGAGCAGCAACAGCCACCGCCCGTCCTCCTGCGAGTGCACATCTGCAACCGGCACTCTCAGACCAAGAAGTACAGGGTCCAGCTTTGCCAAGCACTGCCCACCTGGTGCGTCCTGTCTCCGGGTCCACCACCTTGCGGATGACGCTCTGCCGGGCATCCCACTCCTCCTTGGTCATGGGCTTCATGGCCTGGATGCGGGACTTCTGCTCGTCCGTCAGGACTGGAAGGGCAAATGGCAGGCAGGTGGTGGCTGGGCCTCGGGAGAGGACCCTCCCCGTCCTGCACCCAAGGCAGCACTGTACCTGGGCCATCCTCTTCCTCCTTGGCTGCTCTGTGCCACTGGTCCAGGGAGGGGCCTGGCAGAGCCTCAGCCTGCTGCAGCTTGGCCTTCTCTTTGCCTTTCTTCTTCAGTTTCTTCTTCCTTTTCTTCTTTTTCTTCTTCCTCTTCTTGTCCTTGTGCTTCCCCCGCTTTTTCTTCCGACCATGGCTGGAGGAAGAGGAGGACGACGAGGAAGAAGAGGAGCTGGAAGAACTGGAAGGAGAGGAGGAGGAGCTGGATCGTGGTCTCCTCCGGACCTTGCGCTTGCTTCTCTCTGTGATGCAGGGAGAAGGTGAGGCTGGAAGGCCAGGAGGGGAAGAAGTAAACCCGTGCCCCTTCCTCCAGCCTGCGGCAGGCTCAGGCTGACTCCGAGTGGGGAGACCCTCCCCCGCAGGGCTTGGCAGAGCAGGGATCGGCTCTCTCTGCAGAGGCACTGTGTGCCCGGGAGCAGGCGGCCGGCCCCTCATCCCCGGCCCAGCCGCAGAGAAAGCATGATGAAGCGCTCCCTTCAATCCGTACTCGATGAGCCGGCCGAGCCCCTGGACTCTGCGAGTCTCTCAATCCAGATATCCAGGGTCTACGCGCTGCACCCCCGCCTGTTGGTTACAGCCCCCTGCGACTGGCCCACAGCAGTCCTGGGAAGCCGGCCGGCTGCCTGCAGCTCCCTCAGGAAGCTCCCGCACCCCTTTCCCAGCCCCTCCGGTCCTCACCCTCCGCCCCAGAGCAGACGGTGCTGGCCTTGCGGCCTGGGGATCTAGACGCCGAGCAGCTCCTCGGGGCGTCCTTACTGCTCTTCTTCCTCCTCTTTTCCGACCCTCGCCCCCGGGACCGGCTGCGACTCCGCGAGCGCTTGCGAGAGCCGACGTGAGCCATAGCGCCGCGGGCTGCGGACGGGGAGACGCGCCGAAACCGAGGCTCTCAGGGTAGCTCTAGTCGCGGCCTGGTCCTCGGGGGCCCGGGGCCCAGGGCCCATCCCCACCCCGGGGCAAGGGTATGAGGGGGTCCGCGGCCAGCACGGGCCTCAGCCACCCCACCCTTGAGGACTCCGCCCACTCCCGGATACTCCGCAGCAGTCCCTTTAAGGGCCCGCCCCCCGCGCGGACGCTCCACGCCTGCGCACGCGGCTCTGGCGCCCCTGGGAACGGCCTCGATCCTCAGGGGCCGGGGGGGCTCTGAATCCCTGCCCGCGCGCTCCTACCACCACCTCCGCGCCCTCCGCGGCCCCGTCGCCTCAAGTAAAGTCCCCCGGGCTGCTCCGTTCGCTCCTCAGCCGCCCGCTGGGCCGGGCCGTGCCGTCCGCCCCGCAGCACGCCTTCGCGTGAGGAAGCGGCGGCGAGGTGACGTCCGGCCTGGGTGGTGCTGCGGTAGGCCGTCCGGCTGCGAAGCGAGGCGCTGCTCCCTTCAGTTCCGAAGCCCCAAGTTCCGTCTCTGGGCCAGCCCAAGAGACGGAGTCTGGAGCACCCGCTTCCCGCCGACGCGAGCTGGGGATCCGGGCTTCCGCCTCCAGGCTGGTGCGAGGCCGTGCCTGCGCTCGCAGCTCTCGGCCGAGAGACGTGCCTCCCAGCCTGACGCCAGTCCCAGCTCGCAGGCCCTTGGCCGCCGCTGTGCGCTGCTCCAAGACGGCCCTTCCGGCGCGCCCGCTGCCCCCAGGCTCCCTGCCGCGCGCCGCTCCCCTCCCTGGGTCGTCTGCCTCCCCGCCCACCCCACCGGGCTGCGAGCTCCGGGGCTGAGACGCCGGAGCCTTCCAGCGTCCCCACCCAGTAACCCCGAGGTCGCAGACTCAGATGTCCGGCGGGCCGGAGAGGTCGTGGCAGTGGACGAGGGAGGGGCCCACGTGAGGGAGTGGGCGGCCATCTGGATGTGATTCCAGATCTTCCCGCCTTCCCAGCGAAGCCTCAACTCACGATTCAATATGGAAATCCCTGGTTTTCAGACGTGCAACCCAAAGACGGCACAGCTGCACGGCTCACCCACTGTGGGGGCCATCAAGCTGCAAACTCTTGAATAATTATGATAGCAGCAAACACAGCTGTTACCAAGCACTTTATTCACGTTAACTCATTAGAATCTTACAGCAACTCCAGGAGACAGGCGCTGTCCAGACGAGGGAACTAAGGCACGGTGACGTCGGGTGGCATACCCACGCTCACAGAGCTGGAAGTGGCAGAATCAGAATTCACACCCAGACAGTCTGGCTCGAGTCCCTGCTCTTCATTCCTCTGCAGCAGGCCCTCAGCACCATCTAGAAGATGCTACTGGTGGCCCACCGAGATCCCCCTCACAGGCAGGTGCACTCACCTCCGGCTGTGGTGTCCACTGCTGACAGCTCACACCTGGCTGAGGCTAGGTTCCACCTGAAACCACACCGTGGCCCGGATCCTTCCTGCCCCATCCTGCTTCCCTCACTCTCTTCTCCTGAGGGTCTTTCCTCAATAAACCACTTGCACAGGAAGCCCCACCGCAGGCTCTGCTTCTAACAAAGCTGACCTAAGCCAGCCTGTCTGCTTAAAGAATGACCCAGAAGCAGGCATGTCCTTTTGAACCCAGAAGTGCAGAGGGATGCAGGGAGTTTATTTCTGCCTGCCCAGCCCCAGGAGGCAGAGCCCTCCGAGCCGTGCCACCCCTGCACTGGGCCTGACCAGGCTCAAGTCAGCGCACACACATCCACCGTGGTGGGCTCCTCCCGGGTGAAGCCGTCGCCGAAGCCCTCGTCGTCCACCAGGTCAGGCTTGCGGCAGCACATGGGGCAGAGGCGGTTGCGCACAGCAGAAGCCCGGAGCCAGACGATGAGGTTCCAGCGCTCGCCAGTGCCCAGAGGCCGGGCCCCATGCAGCTGGCCGCCCCGGTGCAGAATGCCCTGGCCCACCATGTGCTCCACCTCCAGGGGCCTGGCCAGGGCTGAGGGCACCTGCGGACAGCGGGGCTCAGGCCTGGGCACTGCCGGCTGCCCCAGGCCCTGCCCCCCGGTCCACACATACTAACCTGGAAGAGGCCCCCGAAGTACAGGGCGCCCCCCGTGAAGGCCTTGCCCAGGGCCACGTTGAGGGTGAGCTCGGCGTTATCGTAGTGGCAGCCCAGCTCGCGGTCCTGGCCCAGTGCGTATTTGACCACAAAGGCGCGGTGGCTGTCGAGCCAGCCTCCCCCACAGTCTGGGTACAGTAGGGCCATCAGCGGCTGCAGGAAGCGCTCCCGCAGCGGCGTCACCAGCGGCTCATCCAGGCCTAGCTCATGTAGCAGCACCTGGGAGGGAGATCCGGGGTCAGCTGGGAGACGGGTGGGCCTCACCCTGGGGCCCTGGGGGAGTCCCTTACTAAGGACAGTGTCAAGTGCTTGGCAAACATCGATTCGTTTGACTTCATAATAATCCTACCATGATCCCATTTTACAGACGAGACCAAGGCACAGAGAGGTCACACAGCTCGTCTGCAGCACTGCGGCTACATCTCCCCAGACCCCAGATGTCCCTGCCTCCTCGGGCCCACCGGCAGAGCCTCACCCACCCCATAGTTGTTCATGGTGTTGGGTCTTCCCTTGGGCATGTCCGACTGCTCGAAGTGCTCCAGCTCCTCCAGCAGGGCCTGGCAGAATGGTGCCGTGAACACCGGCAGCCGGTAGATGCGCTTCTCCTCTGCAGAGGGAAGGACGGTCTGTCGGCCAGGAGCTCTGGTGTGGGGTCGGACAAGCCTATGTCCAATCTTCCCGTGAGCGGTGTGAGCCTGGGCATGTCTTTTCACTTACCCCAGCCTCAGTTTCCTCATGTGTACAATGGGGATAATGAGGGGACCCCACCACCACCACTCAGGGCTGTTGTGATGAGTAAATGATGTAACATGTGCACAATCGGGGAGCTCTATTCTCAGGCCCCCTGCTCCCCGGAGCCTCTCATCCTGCCTCACAGGTGCTCTCAGGTCTAGCCTCCAGACTCAGATGTGGGTCCTGATGAGGTCCGGAGATGGGAAGGGACAAGGACACACAGCAGGCCAGTGATGGACCCAGTCCAGGACCACAGAGCCAGCCCCAGCCTCTCTGTACCCCTCCCCCTGATGAGCCACCAAAGTCTGCACCCCGACTGAGCAATCTCTTGGAGCCCCTGTTCCCCAGAGGCCGAGAGGGGCTGCTCTTTCTTTCCAGGCCCTGGTGGGGAGAGACCAGGCCCAGATGAAAACGCAAACATGTCTTGGCAGATGCACCAGTGCCCAGGGATGCAGGGCTTGTGTGCCCCCCACACTTTTGGCCAACTCACAGCCCAGCCCCAGCCCCACCCGAACAGCCTCCACACACTCTCCACTGCTGGGGAGTGGAGGGCAGTGAGGGGGGCCCCCCCGAGGCTGGGAAGGGGGCTTCATTCCACCCTGTGACCCCCAACAGAGCAAAGGCTCCAGGAGGGGGTGCAACTTTACATCTGTCTCCCCACAGGACCCCCCAGACCTAGGATGACAGTCATCATAAGACTAGGAACCACCTTCTCAAACTTCCTATGTGCTGAGCCCTTTATGCACCCTTATTCCCTCACTTAATCACCACAACACTTCGAGATGGGTATTACCGATCCCGTTTCACAGATGATGAAACCAAGGCAGAGAGATTAAGGAATTGCAAGGGCTCCCTGGCCTGGAACTGCCTGCTTTAGCCCGTGGGAGACCCGGGCAGGAGATCCGAGGGCAGGAGGATGGTGCATTTCTGAGTTGGCGTGGCTGTGCACCTCTGCTCAGGGCCGCAGCGGCTGTCTGGCAGCCCCTCTCCCACAGTTCCAGGTCGTGGCAGGTTCAAGAAACTTCACTCTTGCCCACTCCTTCAGGTCTAGGGATGGGAACTACTCCTCCTGCGCCCCCCTGCCCCACTGCTAGCCCTGGAGGATCCCTCACCATCCCTTACTGATCCCTTAGCCCAGCCCACACCTGTCTCAACTGTCCCCGCATTAAGCTCTTCAGTCACCTCCATCTGAGCGTGCCAGCTGGCTCAGGCCTGATACAAGGCACTGAATAGCTATTTGCTGGGTGAGTGAGTGAGTGAACGAATAGATACCCTATTCCTGGCAGGTCAGTCCCACCGGCCCTTCTAGCTCCTGCTCGTTTGGTTTTTGGAGGCAGACATGGTGGGTGGAGGGACCCAGTCTCCCACCCCCAGTCCTGCCAGGTCACGGGGCCAAGACCTCACCCGACACTGTCTCCAGCCGCTGGAGAAGGCCCTTGAGGTCTGCACCTGGCGATGTGCTGTACTCAGCCGCGGCCAGAAACTCGGGGGCCAGAGCCACATCCTGGGGGCGGAACACACCAGCTGTGGGGCAGGTAGCCCCAGGCCTGGATGCCTGCGCCTCCGTCCAGTAACCTGCCCCCTGCCAGGTACCTGCAGCGCGCTGTAGAGCTCGGGTCGCACCGGGTGGTAGGAGCGTGCGATGAGGGCTTTCCTGGCAGCCGACTCCTGCCCCAGCTGCCGCCGCCGCTCCACCTCCTGCTCAAGCTGGGGTGGCACAGGGCCGGGTTACCAGGATGGGTCTCCCATCCCTCCCGAGGCCATTGTACAGGTATGGAAACTGAGGCTCAGCAAAGCCAGAGCAGGCACCAGGCTGTAAGCCACGTCTCCCTCCACTCCTGACTGTGCCAGAGTCGACTGCAGATGCCAAGCTGTTAGATGAAGGGTACTCCTTCTAGAAGGGTGCCCATGCCACTCTGGGTTGCACCAGCCTGAACCTGGCTGGGATGAGAGCCCCTCGATGCACCTCAACCAGCTGGGCCCACTCAGGGAGGGGAACAGAGTCCTGGCCAAGCCTTGTGTTCCAGAGGCTGCAGACTGCTCTCCTGGGAAGCTTCCAGCACTAACCTCCAGATGAGGGAGGAGGTGGGAGACAAGCAGCAGCAGCCTTGACACCAGCCCAAGGGGGTGGGCGAGGGATGAAGAGCCCAGGAGCCTGGTGGCCCTGGGAGAGAGCTCCGCTCTACCCGCAGTGAAATCCTGGGCGAGAACTCCCCTCTCTGAGCCCAAGTTTCTCGTCTCAAAACGGCATGAAGTAGACAACTTGACGTTTCCTGCTCTCTCTTTTTCTGGTGCCAGGACCCAGATGCTGTGGTGGGTGGGGACAGGGAAGGGGAAACGGAGGGTCTGGGAGACTTCAGGGATCTGGGACTGGCAGGCCTGAGGCTGAGAGGCCCTGAAACTACTAACACAGATCTACAGAGGAGAGGCAGGCTGGGCGTGCAGGGGCGGAGGGGGCGGGGACTGTTACCTCTCCTAACAGCTGCTGGAAGTCCTCGGGGCTGACACAGCCTCGGCTGCGCAGGATCTGAGAGCAGAAAGGCCAGTGAGCCCCACTGTGTGACCCTAGACAAATCACTAGGCAAATCACATCTGAGCCTCAGTTTCCCCTCCTAAAATGGAAATGAGAGCCCCGACCTCACTGGATCGCTGTGAGGATGAAATGCGATAAGCACATGGCAGGGGTCCCGGCTGCTCTTATAACAACAGCGACGGGGCGCCCTGAGCCAGGCCCGGCCCTGAGCACTTCACGTGTGTGTTTATTCACTCGATCCTCACGACCAGCTCACTAAGGAAATAGTCATTCCCATTGAAGGCGAGAAAACTGAGGCTCCGAGAGATTAAGTCATTCCTGTTGTCACATCTGGGCACGCGGGCACAGCCAACGACCTCGGGGACAAAGGTCCTCCCCGCCCACTTCCCCTCGGAGCCCATAGAGGCCACTCACCGGGCCGTAGTCCTGGCGCAGCTGCTGCTCGCCCCGGAAGCGCAGGTGCAGCCCGTAGCGCGCCACGTACAAGTTCTCGGAGCAGAAGCAGGCGCAGCGGCAAAAGCGCCGCGGGGCCCCCGCCGTCGCCATGGTGAAGAGCTGCGCGCGACCCCGCCCGCTTCCGTAGGAGCACTTCCGGGCACGCCCCCAGCGGCCCAGGGACCGTTCTAAATTCCCAAGCGCAGAAAAGAACGAAGACGCTTCGCCCCAGGAAACGGTCCGCGGCAGAGAAAGATGACCCCGGGCCGCGGTGGGGCCGGCGACCTTCTAAGTTTCCCCATCCACGAGGCGGGGATTAATCGGCCCATTTCACAGATACATGAACTGAGTCGCACCTTCACAGGACGTGGAGAGGTAGGGACTCGGAACCCCAAGACGTTTTGCTTAAACGCCACCTCCCTTTTCTGCTCGGAGCTTTGAAGAACTAGCCAAGCCCACGAAGACAGTTAGAGGAGCTCTGGGGTCCGATCTCCTTCCCTCCAGCTATGACCCATCGGCTCTGTGCGTCTCCGCTTGGGTTTAGCATTTACCCCAGGTCCCTGCTCGGCGCTCCCGGCGCCTCCGCCCGCGGGATCTTAGGATCTGACTTGGTTTGCCCCAGTGAGTGTCTCAAGAAAACGCTCCGGCCTGCGTCACTTCCGGTGGCGCTACAGCAGGATTCAGGTGTGGGCGGGGAACAAGGCGTGGTCTGTCGGCGGCCACACCCCGCACCACCAGGTTCAAGTTCTGCACAGCCGCAGTCTGAGATGAGTATGGAGCGTGCTCCGTACTTACTTTCTTACGGAGCGTGCTCCCCACCCTCGGGGAGACCCATCGTAGCGCACACACCCCGCCTCGGGGACCCTGTCATTGTCCGCCATGCATCCCCCAGGCCCAGGTCTGCAAAGCCATTGCTCAGATGGGGGAACTAAGGCGCCGAGCAGGAAGGAAGTCGCGTCCCCTGGAACTGACCGCTGACCCCTGCCCTAGATTTCCCTCCATGGCTCAGCGTGGTGCAGGGATGGGGGTCAGACGGACACCAGCCCTTACCCCAGATAAACTGGTGACTACAAGTGACAACTCCTGTTGGCCGAGCCAGCCTCTCTCCCGGGACCTGCACTGAGGGATCTACCGCCCACCTTATTGCCTTTCGTTCCTACAGCAAACCTTTGAGTTAGGATAGGAGCTGTTATATCACTGTGTGACAGATGGGGAAACTGAGGCTCAGAGCGGTGCAGAGACCTGCCCCAGGTCACTCACCAGTAAGGGACAAGTACCGAGTTTGAAACCAACAGTCTGCCCTGAGTTCCCGGTTCACCAGGACAGGGGTTCTCTGAGTGATGGGAATACGAGGCATTTTGAACTTTCTCTTTGTGGTTGTTGGCATTTTCTTGATGACTCTGCTTTCCTTTTTTCCATGTGTATACACAGATTCATACTCACACATTCGCAGTCATACACAGACACACACACACTCAGTGTGCATACACATGTACTCCAACACATCCTTACATGCTCACACACGCTAACACACACTCATGCACAACCACACATGTACTCACACCCTCACACATTATCAACACACTCACCCCCACATACACATTCCCCCTCACTCGTACACACATTCCACATAGTGACAGTCGCACACTCATTCACATACCCGATATCACATGCACACCCTCACACTCATGTACACCCTCACACACATACTTGCCCACACTCACGCCCCACATGCAGTCACACATACACTCACACACACAGGCAGCACAGCCCTGCTTCCTTTCTTCTCTATGGCAAGTTGAGCCCTGAGGCCCACCCGTTGCTCCTACAGAAGCCCCAGGGCCCCAGAAGGAGATGGGAGACCCTCACATCCTGTGATTCGGTGCCAAGCCGTCCTCCCAAGCTGTCTCCATCAGCATATTTGGGGGTCAAGGCTCCCACGTACAAAGTCTCCCTGCCTTTCCCCAGCACCTCGGGGGACTGGGAGAGGACCCCTGTTCTCTGGGCAAAGCCCACACCAATAGCCTGATTGGTTTTCCCACTGGCTAGGCCGGGGCAGCAAGACCCTCCTGAGTCTGTGTGTCTATGAGTGTGTGAGTGTCTGTGAGTGTGGGAGGTGTGTGTGTGAGCGTATGGAAGTGTGTCTTGAGTGACAGACAAGGTCCTTCCCTTCTGAAGCTCTCAGTAGAGTGGAGGAGACAGGAGTAGGCAAGGAAACAGTTACATAACCAAGTTATTCTCATTCAGTGTGAGAGCTAGGAGGACAGAGTGGGTGGTGGGATGGCAGTGCCTGGAGGTGGCTGCTTTAGACGGGGTTGCCAGGGGACGCCTCCCAGAGAGTGACATTTCAGCCCAGCTCCAACTGCTGCAGCAAGATCTGTCAGGAAAGGGTTCTAGGCAGGGGAACGGAAAGTGCAAGGGCCCTGCGGAGGGATGAGCTTGGCGGCCTTGAGGGCAGCAAGGCGTACAAGGGGCGCGTCATAGGGAATGGGGCCAGGGTGGTACTGGGGGCCAAATCTTTGGGCAGAGGAGGCCATGGTGAACATTTTGGATTTTACTCTACATGCAAAGGGAAGCTGTTTAATCCTCACGACAAATCCTGTGAGACAGGAACTACCCCATTTTACAGACGTGGAAAATGAAAGTCAGAGAGGTTGAATGACCGCCCCAAGGCCACACAGCTCGTGAGTGGCGGAGTCTGGAGTGGAAGCCAATTCTGGCTCCGCTGGGTTGTTCCTAAAGGTGCAGCCAGGTCTCCCTCGGCGCCCGCTCCCCTCCTCGGGTGTGAAATCCAGGTCGCTGGGCCATGGGGACCCTGGGGCCCAGCCCAAGCCTCCTGAAGCTACCAGGCTTCCCCAAGGAAGAGAATGGCCTTCAGGGGCCTGCTTCCCCCTCAAGGACCCAGCTCTCCAGCCCGGAGCTGTGTGGCCTGAGAAGGTGTTTCAAGTTTTACGGGCATCTTGATAGCCCAGCGATAGTGAAGGGCACTGCTCTCCAGGAAAGGATCCCCAGCTCGATGTTCATTACCCCCCTTACTGCCTGCCTCCCCGGGGAGGCCCAGGGCAGCCGGCTCCCCGGCCAGCCACCACGCAGGCCTGGCACGTGCAGCCTCCCCCCAGCTCACCAGGGTAGAATTCTCCCTTTGCAGTGTTTTGCAAGATGAGCATGTTCTGCTTGCAGTTTAAACTGGCCCCCCCCTGTGGCCCCCTCCTCATTGGACACCGTGTCCCCGCCCCCACCCTGCCCGGGCCTGGGCTCAGTCACCACAGAGAACAGCAGCAATAAGAATATTCACAGTAAGCACCAAATCCACGTGTGCTCCCAGCCAGCAATGACGTGCGTTTTGTTGACTGCGTGAGGTGAGGTGTTATCTCCATTTTACAGATAGGAAACTGAGGCTCGGTGAAGTGCAGGGGCCTGTCTAGGGTCATAAACGTAGTGAGTGGCAGAACCAGAATTAGAACACCCATCCTTCTGTCCGATTCCAGAGTGGCGTGTGTGTATGTATATATGCATGTGAGTACGTATATATGTGTCTATACACGTTCTTCAGAATTAACATGGAGCACACATACAAAAAAGGGCACAAAAGCATACAGTTTGGTGAATTTTCACAAACTAGACATACCCATGCAACCAGCACTAGATCCAAAACAGAACATTCTAGCCCCACAGAGACTCCATGTTCCTGCTCAGTCACTATGCATCTCCCAAGGGTCCTAAGAGCAAAGATCAGTCTTGCCTGTTCTTGAATTTGACACAAGTCAAACCACGTAGTATTACTATTTTGTGTGGTGTGTCTTGCACTCGGCATTGCGTCCTGGAGATTCATCTGTGTGGTTGTGTGCAGCAGCAGTTCGTTCTTTTTCCTGGCTGCACACTATTCCGCTGGGTGACCAGCCATGGTGTGCTGAGCCATTCTGCAGCTGATGGACTCTGCATTGTTTCTAGTTTGGAGATGTCATAAATGAAGCTTCTATGAACGTTCATCTTTTTTGTTTGTTTGTTTGTTTTGTTTTTGTGAGGAAGATCAGCCCTGAGCTAACATCCATGCCAATCCTCCTCTTTTTGCTGAGGAAGACTGGCCCTGAGCTAACATCTGTGCCCATCTTCCTCCACTTTATATGGGACGCCGCCACAGCATGGCCTGACAAACGGTGCTTCGGTGCGCGCCCGGGATCCGAACCTGGGCCTCCAGCAGCAGAGGGCGCGCACTTAACCGCTACGCCACGGGGCCGACCCCTCATCTTTTTTTTTAATTGCAGTAAAATATACATAATATAAAATTTATCATTTTTTAATAGACTTTATTTTTTAGAGCAGTTTTAGATTCACAGCAAAACTGTGCTGAAAGTACAGAGATTTCTCAAATACTCCCTGCCTCCACATACACAGAGCCTCCCACACTCTCAAAATCCTGTAGCAGAGTGGGACGTTACAATCCGTGAACCTACATTAACGCATCATTATCGCCCAGAGTCCGTAGTTTACGTTAGAGTTCACTCCGGGATTTGTATGTTCTATGGTTTTTGATAATGTATATTGACGTGTATCCACCATTAGGGTATCTTACAGAATAGTTTCACTGCCCTAAAAATCCTCTGCGCTCTGCCTATTCATCCCCCTCTCCTCCCTAACCCTTGTAACCACTGATCTTTTTACTGTCTCCACAGTATGTAGCCTTTTCAGTTGGCTTTTTTCACTTAGTAATAAGTATTTTAGGTCCCTCCATGTCTTTTCATGGCTTGATAGCTCATTTCTTTTTAGTGCTGAAAAATATTCCATTGTCTGGATGTACCACAGTTTATTTATCTGTTGACCTACTGAAGGACGTCTTGGTTGCTTCCAAGTTTTGGCAAGACGAATAAAGCTGCTATCAACATCCATTTGGAGGTTTTTGTGTGGACATAAGTTTTCAGCTCATTTAGGTAAATACCAAAGAGCATGATTGCTGGATTGCATGGTAAGTGTATGTTTAGTTTCCCAAGAAACCGCCAAACTGTCTTCCAAAATAACTACCATTGTGTGTTCCCACCAGCAGTCACTGAGAGTTCCTGTTGCTCCGCATCTTTGCCAGCTTTTGGTATTGTCAGTGTTTTGGATTTTGGCCATTCTATTAGGTACGTAACGGTATCTCATTGCTGTTTTAATTTGCAATTTCCTAGTGACATATGATGTTGAGCACCTTTTCATATGTTTATTTGCCATCTGTATGTCTTGTTTGGTAAAGTCTCTGTTCAGGTCTTTTTGCCTCTTTTTTAATCAAGTTATTTGTTTTCTTATTGTTAAGTTTTAAGAGCTCTTCGTATATTCTGGATAACAGTCCTTTATTAGATATATCTTTTGCAGATATTTTCTCCCAATGTGTGGCTTGTCTTCTCGTTCTCTTGACATTGTCTTTCACAGAGCAGAACTTTTTAATTTTAATGAAGTCTAGCTTATCAGTTCTTTCTTTCATGGATCTGCTTTGGTGTTGTATCTAAAAAATCATCTCCATACCCAAGAAAATCTAGATTTTCTCCTATGTTATCTTCTAGGAGTTTTATAGTTTTGCATTTTCAACTTAGGTCTATGATCTATTTTGAGTTAATTTTTGTGAAAGGTATAAAGTCTGTGTCTAGATTCTGTTTTTTTGTGTGTGGATGTCCAGTTGTTCCAGCACCATTTGTTGAAAAGACTGTCTTTGCTCCATTGTTCTGCCTTTGCTCCTGTCGAAGATCAGTTGACTGTATTTACATGGGTCTATTTCTGGGCTCTCATTCTGTTCCACTGATCTATGTGTCTATTCTTTCATCAACACCACACTATCTGGATTACTGTAGCTTTATACTAAGTCTTGAAGTCGGGTAGTGTCACTCCTCCAACTTTGCTTTTCTCTTTCAATATTGTTTTGGCTATTTTCACACAGCAAAAATGACAGAGCCTGGATTTGGACTCAACTCTGAATCACTCTAACTTTTGGATAACCCATCTAAGATGCAAGTACAATCATATATTTGCTTTTGTTTTTGCACAAACAGTAACACACTTCAACCTTATTCTGTCTCTTGTTTTTACTCAATACATTTAGGAGGTCATTCCATACCTTTATATAACTTTTGTATATAGATAGATACGTAGATTTTTTTTCCCCTGCTACAGGGTATTCTGTTGAGCGATGCTCTGTAATTATTTGGCCAGTTCCCTATGGAAGGGTATTTAGGTTATTTCCAGAGTGTTTTTATGACAGTAACTATCTGCAAACTATTATCTTTGCTTCTCTCCTCAAGTCTATGTATAGAAGAAATTCCTACTGGGTCAAAAAAAAAAAAAGTGCATTTTAAATTCTGCACATCACCAAATTCCCCTTGAAGGAGGCTGTCCCATGTGAGTAGCAGAGGCTGTCAAATTCCAAGAGCGCTTGAAGCCTCTGAGTGAAGGACGGAGGGATGGATGGGGGGATGTCTTGCTCCACGTGCCGCCCCTCTGGGCCTCGACCTACTCTCCCCAGCTCTTAATTCAGGCCACACTGGTCCCTTTCTGTTCCTCCAATGGCCAGGTGAGTTCCCACCTCAGAGCCTTTCAACTCGCAGCCCCTTCCCCTAGAATGCTCTCCCCCAGACCTCTCTGTGGCTCCCTCCTTCTCACCTTTCACCTTTCTCAGAGCCCTTCCCAGATAAAGCAGCCCCATGGCACCTTCCATTGCCTCACCCAGTTTTATTTCCTTACAGCACTTACCGCCTCCTGAAACTGTCTTACGTCTTTACCTGATTTCCTGTCTTCCCCACGCCAGGGAGGATGGGAGTTTTCTCTTTTTTTCCCACACAGCTGTATTCAGAGCACCTAGAACCTAACACCTAGCAGTCACTCAGTGCACATTGCTGCCTCCGCTCTCCCAATCTCCACTGCCCAGCTCCATTGCTCTCCATAAAACGTATTCCCTTCCAACAGATATAATTCCCTTATTCATTCTGTGTATCTCCTGACTCCCTCACCGGAACGTCAGCTCCAGGAGGGCAGGGATCTTGTTCACTGTTGCATCTCAAACGGGTAGAATGGTGGGTGCACCACACAGAGTGGGTGCTGGACAGATATTTGTTGACAGAATGAATGAATGAATGAAGATCATAACCCCCACCCTGCAGGGCGGGCAGGCTGTCCCTCCAGAGGAATAGGCCCGCTAAGGAGCACGCTGCCCAGCAGGTGAGGCCGCTTCCCTCTGCTCAGGATGGGCCTGAGGCCTCCAGGGCAGGAGGGCAGAGCTGGAGGGCAGGGCAGGGCACGTGGGGGGCGGGGCTGGTCGCAGGTGGGCGGGCGGCTAGCGCTGGCCCCGCCCCCAGGAGGCCCCGCCCCGCCCGTCAGCTGGCCTGGGCGCCCGCCCCGCTGGGCTCCGACCTTGCCGCGGCGCAGCCCGGGCGGGAGGCGGGGAGGAGCGGCGGGAGGAGCGGAGCGAGCGCGGCGCCGGGCTCAGTCTCCAGTTAGCGGCGCGGGTGCTGCGCCTCTGACGACCTGAGCCCGCTGCGCCCCCTCCCCACGGCTCACGTCCTGCCAGGTAAGGTGACAGGTGAGAGCGCGGCGCCCGCCTGTGTCCGCCGGCCCGGGTCCTTCCCAGGCAGGGGTGCCAGTGCCAAGCCGGGCACAGGCTGGGGGGCGTCTGGGTCCCCCCTGCCCCGGGGGTGGAGTAGGCATCTCCGTTGAAGGTGGGAGCCTCCTGGGAGCCTTCCTGGCCCCCGCCCCTGTACCCCGGCGCCGCCCGCAGCGGCGGGTCCCAGCCCCCCATCCCTGCAGCATCCTTTCCACGCCCGCAGGGCGAATGTTGCCTTTATTTTAACCCCTCAGGCGCCGCTGCCTCTTGGAGAATGGTGGGGGTGCCTTTTGGTGAGGATCCTGGGATGGCGGTCCTCCCCGAGACTGGCACGTCTTCTGAGGGCTCCCCACCCCTCACGGCGGGGCCTGCCCACAGATCCTGAGCATCTAGCTGTGGCAGAAGCCTGGGGGGCCTGCCGACCTTGGCAGACCCCTTCCCCTCAGTCTCCCCAGTTGGCCAATGGGCTGGCGCTCCTCACTCATCCACCCTGGCAGTTAGGCCTGTGGGTTCCCAGGGGCCCTTCTCTTGTTTCTGGGACTCCTTTAAAACAGGGCGCCCCCTCCCCAGGCCTGATGTTAATTAAGATAGCTTTAAGCTGATCTGGCAGGATTCTCGGCCCTCTGCCCACTGTCCTACCCCCTGGAAATAGTCTGGCCTCTATTCCCCTCCTTCAGACGTGGCAGGTGCCAGGTGACAAGAGGAGAATGGTGGGAAGGCCACCATAGCTCCCCAGTTTGCCTGCCTGGAGCCACGAGTTACCTGAGACAACTTTCCCAAGTGCCAGGGTGAGGGCCAGCCCCAGCGTGGGATGTGGTGGGCTCAGCAAGGGGGGAGTCAGGATGGAACAACGTGGACCCAGCCCAGTCCTGGCCCTGCATCCAGAGACGCCACTGTGACACTGTCCCACGGAACCGGCCTCAGGCAGCCAGGGTTTGCTGAGCAGTGAATCGGCCTTTCCACTGCTGGGTGATGACCGCTGTGGGTGAAAAGTCCACTGAATTAGGGGTGAACCAAGCTCCTTGGGCCACCCGGGTCCTTCAGGACTCTTTTCTTGCAGTCCCCGAATAGCCTGGGTAAGGGCCCCCCCAGACAGTGAAGTGTTGGGTTTCCATCCTGCCTTTGCCTATTCTCTGCATGTGCTTAACTTCCCCAAGCCTCCATTTCCCCATCTGTAAGTTGGGATGATAACCGTGAGAACCTCCCAGGGTGGTGGCGAGGATTAACTGAGATGAGAGGTGCCAGGTCCTTAGCACATTGTCTAGGACTTGGTAACACTTCATAAACGGTGGCTGTCATGGTTGTAATGAGGACTGTTATTTGTTATCTCCTGGCTGTTCCAGACTTTCCTTTTGTGCAGCTGACAACTGGAGATGCCCCAACCACCATTTCTTCCACTGGGAAGAAGAGCCTTTGACAGGACCCCTGGTGGGGTCACTTGCTAATCCTGTGCCATTCCTTAGCATTTGGGGTCAAGGAGAGTTGCCCCTATCTGCCTGGGCCGTGTCAGGCCCTGGGCAGTACCTGCTCTGGCCACCACCTGTCCCTGTCCCTTGGGCCACACATGTCACTCAGATGCCCACAATTTGCCCTCCAGCTCCACCTGGCCGAGCCCGGCCGCGACCTCTAGGTCAGTCGGATGGAGAGCAGGGACATGCCTCCAAGCAGTCCTATGTCCCCATTGTCTCCTCCTCACAGTCTTGGCTGGCGGTCTTGTCTCCTTCACCCTCCTGCTCAGGAACTTTAAAAATAACAGAGTAGCCTGTCCCCACCAAGGGCTGTAACCCGACCCAAGTTGGATTCTGATCCATCAGACCTGGAGTTGGAGGACTCAGCACTTGGGAGGTAGGGACCCCGGTGCTGTTGCTGCTCTGCCCCCAGCTCACTAGGTGACCCTGGACAAGCCTCGCCCCTTCCCTCTCTGGGCCTCGGGAAGTTTCCCCATCCGTAAGACGTGGTTCAGATAGTCTGTGATGCTGGAGGGCAAAATTTTGTTTATTCTGGTGAAGATAAACAGCTGGGGCTCCCGAGTGGGTGGCCATCAAATGGGGTTGACATTACCTGAAGTGGAGGGGTGGCGAGAAGGATCTCCTTCAGTGACTTGGGGGGCCGGGGGTGCAGGGAGAGCCAGCCGAGGCCCTGGGCTGGTCTCTGGCAGATCTACCTCCTATCCCACTTCTGAAGCCCAGCTCCTTTCTGGGGGCTGAGGGACTCCTTGTGTTCACCGAGAGGTGAGCGGCAGCCGAGGTGGCTGGCCGGGCCTGGGCAGCCGGCAGTGGCTTGGCCAGGAGGCCTGGTGTGGCACCAGGCCAAGAGCATCCCTCTCTGGGCTCCAACTAGCGCTCACCCACTCGCTGGCTCCCCGAGGCTTCTGCATTGCAGCAGACAGGAGCCTGCACTGGCAGCCCAGTGGGGCTGGGGGTGGAGCAAGGGCTCGGGCAAGGGGTGTCTGTCCTCCCATGCCCGCCCCACTCCCTCCCCTGCCTTGATCCCACTTGTGGGAGGGACAACTGCTGACAAGGCAGCAATCTTCTCTGGGACAGACTTGAGTCTGCCTGGAAGTGCTGGGGTGAGGGCAGAGCCCAGGCTTGGGGACCATCACGCCCCTGGGTCCTCTCTGCATCTCAGACCCCTTCCGAGTGTCATTAGGGGGCTTGCCTACCCCTGGAGAGGCTCTTTTGAAGGATTAGGACTTTGGAGTGGAGAGCACAGACTTTGGAACCCGATGACCTGGGTTCACATCCCAGCTCTGCTACTTCCTAGCTGCGTGACCTGGGGCAGATCACTTAACGTCTCTGTGCCTCAATTTTCTCAACTGCAAAATGGGGATAATAATAGAACCTACTTCGTAGGATTCACGTGAGGATTAATGCATGTAAATCACTCAGAACAGGGCCAGGTTCACATTAACATCAGCAAGTGTCAGCTATTATTACTGTTACTGTTGTCATCATTGTCACCGTTACCATGGTCATCAGCTCTGTTTCCTGGCTGAGCCCCCTCTGGTATGCAGTCATGTATCACTTAATGACGGGGCTGTGTTCTGAGAAATGCATCCTTAGGCGATGTCGTCGTTGTGTGAACATCGTAGAGTGTGTTTACACAAACCTAGATGGTACAGCCTACTGCACTCCTAGGCTCTATGGCACTCATCGTATGGGACCACTGTCATACATGCACTCCGTTGTTGCCTGAAACGTCGTTTTGCGGCCCAGGACTGTAGACTCTATTGTGCTTAGGTGAACCCTCCCTCTTAGCACTTGTTAAATTGACAGGTGTCTTAGCTTAGCAGTTTCGAGCCTGGATTCTGGAGCCAGACAGCTCTGGGTTCAAATCCCAGCTCTGCTGCTCACAGGCTGCGGGATCTTGGGCAAGTTATTAACTTCTCTGGGCCTCAGTTTCTCCATCTGCTAAATGGGGACGAGGATAGTGCACATCTTACAAAGCTGTTGTGAGGATTAAATAAGCGAACACATATAGAGCACTCGCGGCATGTGAAGGGCTGGCTCAGAGGAAGGGCTGTGCCACGTGCCTGGTACCTTGTAGTTCTTGGGCACCTGCTGTGTCCAGGTGTGTGCGACAGAGGGTGAGAGGCAGGTGCTGGGATCCTTCACATACTGGCTGAGGTCCTGGCTTGGACCTTTGCTAGCGGGGTGATTTGGGGCACATGCTTTTCCCTCTCTGTGTCTCTGTTTCCCCAACTGTAAATGGGAGTGTGGAAACACTGCCTCATGGGGTTGTGTGGGGTTTCCGCCACTCCAGAACGTGAGGTCCATCGCCTTGGTTTGGGCACCAGAGCTGTGGGGGAGAGGGTGTCTCAGGCTGGCCCCCCTTCCCGGTCACTATTCAGTTACCCCTCTGTTGTTCCATGCCTCCCCCCTCCACCTGGGGACTCCAGAGCTTTGCCCATTTTCCAGGTGGGACAACAAAGACCCCAAGAGAGAAACGGATGCAACCAAGTCAAGGGGTAGCACTCAGACGCACACCCCGGCCCAGTCCTCATTCTACCCTGGACATGCCCCGTTCCCAGACTCAGGCCTCCAGGACCACGTCCCACAGTGTCCCTGCAGCTCCTGGGGTCTCCCAGGCCCCGGCTGAGTCCTGAGGGGCCCAATGTGGGGGGTGCGTTGGACGAAGCAGACATCAAGGTCCAGAAAACCAAGGAGGCCTAGGGCTGGGGGTGACGGCCAGCCTGGGCTGAAAGAAAAGATTCTGGGGACGTCCAGGCAGATGCGAAAGTCCCTGGGTCACTCTAGGGCCTGCAGCCATCTCCTCTTGGTCTAAGAGGACAAAGGTTTATTTGGGGAGATAGAAGTGAACAAACATTTATTAATCACCCACTGTATATGGTGATAACAATCAGCAGCAATTTTTTCCCTATTATTTTATGTTTATTTTTTGAGGTAACATTGGTTTATAACATTATATAAATTTCAGGTGTACATCATCATATTTTGATTTCTACGTAGACTACATCATGTTCATCACCCAAAGACTAATTACCATTCACCACCATACACATGTGTCTAGTCTCCCCTTTTGCCCTCCTCCCTCCCCCCGTCCCCTCTGGTGACCACCAATCCAGTCTCTGTCTCTATGTGTTTGTTTGTTGTTGTTTTTATCTTCTATTTATGAGTGAGATCATATGGTATTTGACTTTCTCCCTGTGACTTATTTCGCTTAGTGTAGTACCCTCAAGGTCCATCTATGTTGTCACAAATGGCAATATTTCATCTTTTTTATGGCTTAGTAGTATTCCATCATGTATATATACTGCATCTTCTTTATCCATTCACCCCTTGATGGGCACTTATGTTTTTTCCAAGTCTTGGCTATTGTGAATAACGCTGTAATGAACATAGGGGTGCATATATCTTTATGCATTCGTGTTTTCATGTTCTTTGAATAAATACCCAGCAGTGGAGTAGCTGGGTCATATGGTAGTTCTATTCTTAGTTTTTTGAGGAATCTCCCTACTGTTTTCCATAGCGGCTGCACCAGTTCACACTCCCACCAGCAGTGTATGAGAGTTCCCTTCTCTCCACATCCTCTCCAATGCTTATTTCCTGTCTTGTTAATTATAGCCATTCTACGGGCGTGAGGTGATAACTCATTGCAGTTTTGATTTCATTTCCCTGATAATTAGTGATGTTGAACATCTTTTCATGTGCATGTTGGCCATCTATGTATCTTCTTTGGAAAAATGTCTGTTCAGATCTTTTGCCCATTTTTTAGTTGGGTTGTTTGTTTTTTTGTTGTTGAGATGTATGAGTTTTTTAAATATATTTTGGATATTAATCCCTTATCAGGTATATGGTTTGCAAATATCTTCTCCCAATTGTTAGGTTGTCTTTTCGTTTTGTTGATAGTTTCCTTTGCTGTGCAGAAGACTTTTAGTTTGATGTAGTCCCATTTGTTTATTTTTTCTATTGTTTCTCTTGCTTGGTCAGACATGGTATTTGTATAATTTTATTTATTTATTCTTCCGCCAAAGCCCCAGTAGATAGTTGTATGTCTTAGCTGCTCATCCTTCTAGTTGCTGTATGTGGGACGCGGCCTCAGCATGGCCGGAGAAGCGGTGCGTCGGTGCGCGCCCGGGATCCGAACCCGGGCCGCCAGCAGCGGAGCGCGCGCACTTAACTGCTAAGCCACGGGGCCGGCCCGCAGACATGGTGTTTGAAAATATGCTGCTAAGACCAATGTCAAAGAGTGTACTGCCCGTGTTTTCTTCTAGAAGTTTGATGGTTTCAGGTCTTACATTCAAGTGTTTAATACATTTTGAGTTAATTTTTGTGTATGGTGTAAGATAATGGTCTACTTTCATTCTTTTGCATGTGGCTGTCCAGTTTTCCCAGCACCATTTATTGAAGAGAGTTTCCTTTCTCCATTGTATGTTCTTGGCTGCTTTGTCAAAGATTAGCTGTCTGTAGATGTGTGGGTTTATTTCTGGGATCTCGATTCTATTCCATTGATCTGTGTGTCTGTTTTTGTGCCGGTACCATGCTGTTTTGATTACTATATCTCTGATTACTATATTTTGAAATCAGGGAGTGTGATGCCTCCAGCTTTGTTCTTTTTTCTCAGGATTGCTTTGGCTATTTGGGGTCTTTTGTTGTTCCATATAAATTTTAGGATTCTTTGTTCTATATCTGTGAAAAATGCTGTTGGAACTTTGATAGGGATTGCATTGAGTCTGTAGATTGCTTTAGGAAGTATGGACATTTTAGTTATGTTAATTCTTCCAATCCAAGAGCATGGAATATCTTTCCATTTCTTTGTGTCTTCTTCAATTTCTTTCAACGATGTTTTATACATTTTATACATTTAAACAATTGTGCAGGTCTTTCACCTCTTTGGTTAAATTTATTCCTAGGTATTTTATTCTTTTTGTTCCAATTGTAAATGGGATTGTATTCTTGAGTTCTGTTTATCCTAGTTCATTATTAGGGTGTAGAAATGCAACTGATTTTTGTATGTTGATTTTATATCCTGAAACTTTACTGTATTCATTTATTATTTTTAAAAAATTTTTGGTGGATTATTTGGGGTTTTCTATATATAAAATCGTGTCATCTGTAAATAGTGATAGTTTCACTTCTTCCTTTCCAATTTGGATCCCTTTTATTTCTTTTTCTTGCCTGATTTCTCTGGCTAGGACTTCCAATACTATGTTAAATAAGAGTGGCGAAAGTGGGCATCCTTGTCTGGTTCCTGTTCTTAGAGGGATAGCTTTCAGTTTTTCTCCATTGAGTATATGATATTAGCTGTGGGTTTGTCATATATGGCCTTTATTATACTGAGGTATTTTCCTTCTATACCCATTTTATTCAGAGTTTTTATCATAAATGGATGCTGTATCTCGTCAGATGCTTTCTCTGAATCTATTGAGATAATCATGTGATTTTTATTCTTCATTTTGTTAATGTGGTGTATCACACTGATTGATTTGTGGATGTCGAACCATCCCTGCATCCCTGGAATAAATCCACTTGATCGTGGTGTATGATCTTTTTAATGTATTGTATTTGACTTGCTAGTATTTTGTTGAGGAGTTTTGCATCATGTTCATCAGTGATATTGGCCAGTAATTTTCTTTTTTTGTGTTGTCCTTGTCTGGTTTTGGTATCAGGGTAATGTTGACCTCGTAGAATGAGTTAGGAAGCCTCCCCTCCTCCTCAATTTTTTGAAAGAGTTTGAGAAGGATAGGTATTCAGTCTTCTTGGAATGTTTGGTAGATTCTCCAGGGAAGCTCTCTGGTCATGGACTTCTATTTTTTGGGAGGTTTTTGATTACTGTTTCGATCTCCTTACTGGTGATTAGTCTGTTCAAATTCTCTATTTCTTCTTGATTCAGTTTTGGAAGGTTGTGTGACTCTAAGAGTTTATCCATTTCTTCTAGATTATCCAGTTTGTTGGCGTATAGCTTTTTGTAGTATTCTCTTATATCAGCAGCAATTATTATGTGCCAGGCAGTGCCAGAACTCACGTTCATGCACTGAACCTCACACTCCCGCTTTACAAATGAGGAAACAGCTTCAGAGAAATTAGTAGTAATAGTAGTGGCAGTAGTAGTAAAAACTGACCATTTATTGCCATCTTTGCTTGTCTCAACTTCATCTGCAAAGTCCTCCAGATCCTTGCCCCCGCACCTCTCTGACCTCGTGGGGCCTCCTTGCCTCCCTCAAGCACATCTGCATGCTCCTACCTCAGGACTCTGGCCCTGTCTGTTCCACCCGTCCAAAATGCTTTTCCCCCTGATATCCCCATGGCGGATTCCCTCACCTCTTTCAGTCTTGCTCAAGTGTGACCTTCACAGCAAATGTCTTCCCTGGCCCCCCTGTTTAAAATTGCCCTTGGACTGACTCGTAGATACAGAGAACAAATTGGTGGTTGCCGGTGGGGGGTGGGGTGGGGAAGGGCAAAACAGGTGAAGGGGATAAGAGATACAAACTTCCAGTCATAAAATAAATGTCATGGGGTGTCATGTACAGCATAAGAAATATAGTCAACAACATTGCAATAACTTTGTGCGATGATGTGTGGTAACTGGTCTTATCAGGGTGATCATTTTGTGATGTAAATAAGTGTCGAATCACTATGTTGTACAACTGAAACTAATACAAGATTGTTTGTCAACTCTACTTCAATAAAAATAAATACAAATTAAAAAATAAAATAAAGTTGCCCTCACTCCCCCCTTGCCCCTATCCTCTGCACCCCACTCTTTTTTCCCCCAGCCCTTATCTTAACATACTATATCATTTACTTATTATGTTCATTATCTGTCTCAGACACAAGTGTGTCATCTCCACAAGAGCAGGGGTCTGTAAATTTTGTTCATTATTAAATCCCCAACACAAAGAACAGAGTCTTTCTGTTAAGCGGCCCCCAGAGGGCACTCAGTAAACATTCCTTGAATGAATGGAATCCTCACAGCACCCCTGTGAAATCAGTACTCTGTCCGTGCCATTTTACAGATGAGTAAACTGAGGCTCAGAGATGTCAAGTGACTTGCTCAAGGTCCCACAGCCAGCAAGTAGCAAACCTGAACCCCTTGCCCTGTTGCCCGTACAGGTCTGACCTCGCCCCATGGACAATGGCCTTGCCCCCGTGAGCTAGAGCCTGCCCCTCGGCACCTGCCCACCGCCAGCCAGCAAGATGCAGCTGTGGAAGGCGGTGGTGGTGACCCTGGCCTTCATGAGCATGGACATCGGCATGACCACGGCCATCTACGTCCTCAGCCACCTGGACCGCAGCCTGCTGGAGGACATCCGTCACTTCAACATCTTTGACTCGGTGCTGGACCTCTGGGCGGCCTGCCTGTACCGCAGCTGCCTGCTGCTGGGGGCCACCATCGGCGTGGCCAAGAACAGCGCGCTGGGGCCCCGGCGGCTGCGGGCCTCGTGGACGGTCATCGCCCTCGTGTGCCTCTTCGCGGGCATCTACACCATGGTGAAGCTGCTGCTCTTCTCCGAGGTCCGCAAGCCCGTCCGGGACCCGTGGTTCTGGGCCCTCTTCGTGTGGACTTACATCTCGCTGGCTGCCTCCTTCCTGCTCTGGTGGCTGCTGTCCACGGTGCGGCCGGACGCCAAGGCCCTGGAGCCGGGGGCGGGTGCTGAGGCCGAGGCCGGGGGCTTCCCTGGGGAGGCCCGGCCCCCGCCCGAGCAGGCCTCTGGGGCCACGCTGCAGAAGCTGCTGGCCTACACCAAGCCCGACGTGGCCTTCCTCGTGGCGGCCTCCTTCTTCCTCATCGTGGCGGCTCTGGGTAAGTGAGGACCCGCGGGGCCTGGCGGGCACCCAGGAAATAATTTAGGGGGGTATAACCCCCTTTTCTTTTATCTTAAATTTTTAACATTTTACTTACATGGTTCAAACATCAAATTGATACGAAAAGGTAAACATTGAGAGTTTCACTCCTAATTCTGCCCCTGGCTACCCTGACCCCCCTGCCCAGGGCCAACTACAGGGAAAAGTCCCAGAAACTTCCAAGTGGGCAAGAAACCACTTTTATTCATTTCTCGTATGTACTTCCAGTGTTTCTTATGCGGCTACGTGCACACACAAACACGTTATTCTCCCCACCTCATACACTCTATTTTGGGTCTTGCTTTTTTCATTTGAAAATATATTCTGGAATTTTCCCAACTTCATTCTTTTGTTTGGCTACATAATATTCCATATATTATTTAGTCGGTCTCCTGTTGTTGGACTCCTGGGTTGTTTTTGGTCTTTTTCTCTTACAATAAATACATTTCATGTAAATGTGGGTATATCTGTAGGATAAATTCCTGGAAGTGGGATCACTGGGTCAGAGCATTTTCTGTAACGAAGCAGAATAGAGACCATCCCAGTATGTTGTCTGTGGAAAGATTAAGTAGTTTCGTGAAACTTTCAGTTATGTGCGCCTGTGTGTAAGTGTGTCCTGGTTTGTGATATAAAATGTGTTTGTCACTGTGGGTCTGGTCCAGGCAGTTTGAAAGCCCCACTCTAGCACCGTGGGTGGGACGGTGACATTGCGGGGTGGAAACTCCATGGGAGCTGGGGCAACAAGGCCTGGGTCCGAATCCCAGTCTGGCTCCTTCCCTGGCGGTGTGACTATGGGCAGGTTCTCGAAGCTTCCAGAGCCTCACTTCCTCTTCTGTGAGACGGAGATTAGTGTCCTTACTCCATGAGGTTGTGAAGCTTGAATAAAGCAGATGGGAGAGGGGCGAGTGCAGAGGTTGGTGCCACACGGTGAGCACTCAGGAATGTGAGTGATCATGCGCCATTCCGTGTGCAACACACAGGGACAGAGTCTGGGAGAGGCCACCAAGATGGAAGGTTCTCAAAGAGGACAGGCGGACCCGGGAACTGGCCCTGGTTCTGCAGCCCCTTCCTCTTACTGTCCACCCTCCACCCTCCCAGTCCCGGCCCCTTAACCGCTCTGTGATTTTAGGCCAGTTACTTAACCTCTCGAAGTCTCGGTCTCCTCAGCTGTAAAATGGGCGTAGAAACAGTGCCCACTGCACTGGGGGTTGTGAGGTTCAGTGAGTTAACACGAGGAAGACACCCTGGACACTCCTGGCACATAGAAAACACCCAAGAACTTTCAGTGGCTGTGAGTACTGGGGTGACCCCTTTCCGTTTAACCAGATAGTTTCTCCTACTCACACTTCAAGGCCCAGATGTCCCCTCCTCAGAGAAGCCTTCTCGGATTCTACCAACTACGGCCCTTTGTCTGCACCTCAGTCATAGTGTTGGTGACATGAAAATCATGCATCTACCCTCCTGCCTCCACTACCAGGCTCTGAGCCCCACGGGGTTGGGGGCCAGGTCCGATTCACCCTGGTTCCCCCGATACCTGGCACAGAGGCAGGCTCACGGAATGAATGAATGAATGAATGAATGAACGAACGAACAGATCACATCCTGCCCATGCAGGCAGATGGCGCCCCAGGACCTCGTTTCCCCCCTGCCAGAGCCCTGTTGTCAGCCAGTGTGTGCTCAGGGAATGCGGATGTCCTGAAATACAGCCGAGCAGCTTCTGCTGGCCTGCAGGATTGGGTTGAAGTTAAAGTCCCTGGACTTCACTGATAACTTTACACAAGTTTACTGAACCCGGCCAACCTCCAATTTTCTCATCCTGAAATGGGTGCTTCGTTGGGTTCCTGTGAGGATTAAATGAGATGAAGCATGGTGCCTAGCAGAAATCAGTTCTTCGTGAAAGTTAGGTGCTGTGATTATTAATAATTGTTTTTCAATCAACAAGCATCCAGTAGGGCCCAGCTTTTTCTGACACCTCATAATTTTAAAGAAAAACTGCCCACTGGATAAAAAGGTCAATTTTAGTGTTGAGTATCTCCTAGTAAATTGAGATGCTTTAATATGAATTTTGTGGCAACCCGACTATATAAACTTGGACAAGTAACTTGACCTCTCTGAGCCTCAGTTTCCTCATCTGTAAAATGGGAAGAATAATAATACCTATAGGATTGTTGGGAGGCGTTTGAGACTTGAAAGAGATGAGACAGCAGATATCTGGGGTAACAGTGCTCCAGGCAGAGGGAACAGTCCATGCAAAGGTCCTGAGGCAGGAAGGTGCCTGGTTGTTAAAGGGATACAAAGAGGCCAGAGGAGCTGGAGTGCGATGAGGGATGAGGGGTGTAGAAGATGAAGTCGGGTCAGTCACAGGGGCCCGATCGTGCAGGACACCGTTGGCCACTGTAAGGACTTTGACTTTTACTGTGGGTGAAATGGGAGCCATTGGACTGTTCTGAGCTGAGGGACGACAGGATCTGATTTCGGTGTCACAGGATCCTGCTGTCAACTGAGTGGAGAACAGGCTGACGGGGACAGGGGCGGGGAGAACTTGGAGTTGGAGATAGTCCAGGCAAGATTGGCAACTTGGACTCAGATGGGGCAGGAGAGACAGTGAAAGTGTTCGGGTTCTGGAAATATTCTGAAGGTGCAGCCACAGGATTTGCTGACAGATTGGAGAGTTTCGCGTGGTTCTTGTGCAGATTCGACAGAGAGTTGGCACAGGTGTGTGGCACAGCGCCCACACCCAGTAAGGGCTCGAGAAACGTCTGCGGTGGGTAACATTGTCGGTGCTTGCTGGAATCAAAGTGCTGTTGGAGCTCACTGATGTCCTTTTCTCTCCTGTGGGTAAACTGAGGCAGAACTTCAGCTCAGGCAGAATTCCACAGCGGTGGCTGGAGGCCCCATCTGGCTGAGGACCGTGGGGACTCAAGTTCTCTAGGCTGCCACCTTGTGGTCCCTGTGCCCCAACCAGCAGAGGGCACCAGAACCCCACAGAAGGCCTCACGGTCCCCCCTGAGCCAGTGTAGAGCTGGCCAGGGAGGGGCTGGCAGGCCTGCCCAGGATTCATTCACTGACCTTCATTGAGCGCCTACTGTATGCCCAGCCCCGAGCCAGGCTGTGCCTGTGGAAAGAGCTGCAGTGAAAACAGGGGACACGGCCTGCTGGGGCCATATTCCATCCCATGTCCCTCATTTCCATAAGATGAGTGGGCATTCCGGATTATTGGGAGGGAAGGGACGAGGAAAGAACCCCCAGATTGGAAGCCAGTTTGGGTTTGAGTCCTAGCCCTTCCTCTTAATTGCTGTGTGACTTCTGGCGAATTACTCCGCCTCTCTGAGTCTCCCATTCCACCTCTGTGAAACGGGAGTCACATCCCTTCTGGACCCCTCTCCCCACCCCACCTGGATTGTTGTGAAGATTCAGTAAGACAAACGGGGAGGAAATAACCTGGCAAACTGTGCAGTGCCCCACCAGGAGGGGCGGGGTGGCCATTTCCAGCACTGCTTGGAACCAGAATATCAGCATCTTCTGAGGTTCTAGAATTTGGACTCTGAACCCTCTGCCAGTGAGAAGAAGGAAGTGAAATTGGCATCAGTCAGCCCATGATTGCTGTGTGGCCTGGGCGAGCGTCATCTCATCTTTTCAGTGTCACTTTCCTCCTCTGTAAAGTGGGGTGATGGCAGGACCAACTCAAGTCCCCGTGCAGAGAGAATGAAGTGTCGCACGGGCGTCCCACGCTCTGAGTGCTCAGTGCCTGGTGGCCGTTATTAATACTGCTGACCCTGGCTGTATAGATTGAATAACCCGTGTGTCCTGTGTTCCTGCTCCCTGAGAAGAGGGGGGTGTTGAGCAGGACGCGGCCCCCACCCCCTCCCGCCATGGGGAGAAGCAGGAGTTTGCCAGGAGAGAAAGCCCCACCAGTGGAGCGAGCAGAGCGGGTGGCGTGTGGGCTTCTGGGAGGAGGGGTAGGGGCTCCCCTGGCTGCAGACACCCGCTGAGCCCGCCTGTCCCCGCAGGAGAGACCTTCCTCCCCTACTACACCGGCCGGGCCATTGACGGCATCGTCCTCCAGAAGAGCATGGAGCAGTTCAGCACAGCCGTCACTGTCATGTGTCTGCTGGCCATCAGCAGGTAGCCAGCTCTCGACCCCACGCCCTGCCCCAGGCCTGCAGCAGGGGAGGGAGGTGAGGGGCCAGCTCCTCAGGGGAAGATGGGCCAGGGAGGCCCAAGAAATGCCCCTGCTGGGCCTGTCCCTCAGCTGGTCACCGTGATAACCAACAGCCAAACTGGCTTAGAACCCATGTCCATGTGGTTGAGCCATGCCCTAGAGCCACACCCTCTTTTCCCTAAAAACGGCTTCAGCCTCGAGGGTTCCCTTTTCACCCTTCCTGGCTGTTTTCCAAGTGGGAAACAAGGACCAGCCTTGTCTGTGCTGTTCTGGAAGGCAGAGGGGTCTGGCTGGCAAAGTCGGGTCCCTCGCCCCCCATAAACACAGTCCCCTCTTTGCCCGCGCCTCGGGGGCTCCAGCTGGGGGACAAGGGAGGCCCCATGGTGGTGCCAGCCCTGGAGAGTGGGCTCGAGGTTGGGGTCCTGCCCCGTCTCCGCCCTGTGAGTGGCCCACGCCTGCCAGCAGCGGGAGGGGACAGCCGGGTATGGCTGTTGGTTGTCAGAAGGACGCCGTGCTCTATATAACATCTCTTATCTGCAATTAGCTCATTTGCCGCAGGTATTCGGGGCGGCATTTTTACCCTCGTATTTGCCAGACTGAACATTCGCCTTCGAAACCGTCTCTTCCGCTCACTGGTGTCTCAGGAGATGAGCTTCTTTGACGAGAATCGCACAGGTTTGTCCCCCCCGGGGCCCAGGGCTTGCCTTGCGTTGAGGAATTACATGGGCACACTAGTGGCCTCAGCGCCACTGGCTTTTCTGTCCGGTTCGGGATGGAAACACCCCAGAGGCTGGCTGGCCCCTGGCCCCGCCTCAGCCCTGGGGAGCTGGCCTGCTGGCCTAGGTTTTGGCATGAGCTGTGGCCGCTGTAGGACCCTGGCCAGCCCACCCGAGGTCCCTGCAGGAGCCGAGGCCTCGCCTCCCACCGCCCTCTGGGAATCACCAGGGCCAGGACTACCGAAGCCTGTGGCCTGAGAGGCCCAGCGCCTCTGGGGGTGAGTGGGGTGGGGGTGCAGGGCGAGCAGGGAGGATGGTGTAGTCTGGGCCAGGATCCCAGGCTCTGAGAGGCCAACCTGGGTCCAGCCCTGGTTCCACCACTCACTAACTTCACCTCTCTGAGCCTCTGTCTCTTCATCTCTAGAATGGGAACGATAACAGCAGCCACGCCAGGGGGCTGCTGTGGAGCTCTTAGCCCGGGATCCAGCAGTTGGTACAAGGGTGTCTGGTCCTTTCCCCTCCCCCAGGCCAGATGGTCATTTCTTTGTGAGGGAAGAGGGGCTTTGTCCCCTCTGCCAGGGAACGGAGGAGACGTGGCTCTGATTCTGCTGTGCCAAGGAGAGGCGCTGAGCCAGCCGCTTCCCCGTTCTGAGCCTCAGTCGCCGTCTCTGCTCTGGGACGTGCTGAACCTGAAGCCAGAGGCTGGTGACAAGGGCTGGGCTCAGAGCAGCCCGCGAAGGGCGTCTGTTTTTCCCTCCCCGCACCCCCCGGACGGTGGGGGAGGTCCCCGCTCCCGTGCCTGTCTCGGAAGCCCCCTAGTGTCCCCTGCCCGGCCCACAGCAGCCTCGCTGCTGCAGCGGGAGCTGAGCTGCCTGTGTTCCAGGGGACCTCATCTCCCGCCTCACCTCGGACACCACCATGGTCAGCGACCTGGTCTCCCAGAACATCAACATCTTCCTGCGGAACACGGTCAAGGTCACGGGCGTGGTGGTCTTCATGTTCAGCCTCTCGTGGCAGCTCTCCTTGGTCACCTTCATGGGCTTCCCCATCATCATGATGGTGTCCGACATCTACGGCAAGTACTACAAGGTAGGCCCGCCTGGTCCCTTCGGGGGCCCTGCGCACGGCCGCCCCCCCAACCGTGTCCCCTCAGAAGGGGCTGGGGGCCCCGGGGCTAGTGAAGGACTCATCTCGAGGCCCTGTTTGTGGTCAGTCACTTGTTCCTTCAGTCATTCAGGTGGTACTTGTTGAGCAGCCCTCTGTGCCCAGCACTGGGACCCGCCAATGAAGCAGACAAGGCCCCGCCCACAGGGAGCTTATATTCTAGTGGGAAAGACAGATGATAAGTAACAACAATGATAATAATGAGAATGTATAATACAGTAAAACATGGTAAGTGCTAGAAGTAAAATGAACCGAGGGAAAGAGACTGGGAGTATTGAGGTGGTTGCAATTTTAAACAGGTCTTTCTGAGAGGGTGACGTTTGAGTCAAGAAGTGGACATCTTGGGGAAGCACATTCTAAGCAGAGGGCACAGCCAGTGCCTAGGCCCTGAGGTGGGCATGTGCCTGGTGTGTTTGAGAAGCCTCAGGGAGACTGGAGCGATGAGCGAGGGGAGAGGATGGGAAATGAGGGCAGGGAGGTGGCAGGGGCCAAGGTGGGGACCTTTGCACAGCATTCGGTCTTCCCTCTGAGTGGGGAGTGTGCTCTTTCTGTAGAGTGTGTGTTCTGTTGGGGTGGCTCGGGCCGTGATGCGGTGTGGACAGGCTGCTGTCCCCTCCCGCCGCCCCTTGGCACTGCCTCTGCGGGGAAGGCCGGCCTGTGAGCTGGGCCCCTGCCTCACCCTCCTCCTGCTTTGCCCCTTGGTGGGTGCCCCCGAGCCCTAAGGGACCAAGGCCAGGTCCAGACAGGTGAAGGCGCCCCGTCCCCACTGACCCGGGGGGTCGGGTTCTCCTAAGCAGGGGGTTAGACACGTGATTGGCTCAGCTTTCCCGGCTCAGTCAGAACCCTTGGTGCCCATGACCTGAGGCCCGGCCCAAAATGAATCCATTCCCCACAGCCATTGGGTCGCCTTCGGGCAGAGCCCACCGCCCTGAGGCCGCCGCCATTTCGCCCTGAGTAGGAAAAGTAAACATGCGAGTTCGAGTGGGACCTGGTTCCCTTCCTCTGCTCCCTGCCCCGCCCTTCCTGCCTTCCTGCCGGCCCCTGGGGGGGGGGCAGGAAACCCTGGCGCTCCCCCCAGCAGCCCCACCTCTGTGCACACCTCAGGCCCCGCCTCAAGTGCAGGTGGGCCTCCAGGAAGCTCGGCCTGCACTTGCAGGCGTTAATATAGCCCGAGTCACCGGCACGAGCCACCCGCGCCACCCGCAGCCAGACATGACTCAGGGCACAGCGGGCTCCACCAAGACGCCCAAGTCCACTGTGGGCTCCCGACGGCCTGGGCGTGACTCGCGGGTCGTGGGACGTGCCTGTGCAGGATCCTGTCCTGGCCTCTGGGGCAGCCTTCCTGGCTGGTTGCAGCCTGAGTGTGGTAACTGTTGCAAAACCTGAACAGCTCCGCCCAGAGATGCTTCCAGAACTCTGGGAGGCAGCAGCCTGGTGGTGGTACACTTGGAACCACTTCTCAACTGTCTATCCCCAGTTATACACACACAATGCGGGCAGATTTCATAGCCCATGGCCTCTGTCAACGTCTAGAACTTGGCTAGGAATTCTGTGATCTCTGTGCCAACCCTCAGGCTCTCACATAATTTAATGTATGCTGACGATGTAAATGATGCCTCCATAATAGTTGGTACTTCTTGTATAGTGTACAATCTGAACAACTGTCCAGGGCACCCCTGCTCTCATGCCAGCATAAGATCAGGTGTTGAGGCTCCTTTTCTGAAAGGATTACCAAAAATTGTATGGTCATGAATAACCTCCTTTGACTCCTGGAGAAGACTTAACGACCAGCCTCCCATCCCTCAGGAGCTGGAACTTTGGGATCTCACCCGTAGAACCCAGCTGGACCCTATTCTCTGAGTCCATCAAGTCAAGCGAGAGGAGACGGGGGACAAAGGGGAGCTAGGTCTTATCCTTTTGTCCCCAGAACTCCCCGCATGGAGCTGGTACCAACTAAGGGTAGGAAAGCCCAGAGAGGCCTGGGGCTCAGGTTTGGTGTCCCCCCTCCTGCCCGTAGAGGCTCTCCAAAGAGGTTCAGAGCGCCCTGGCCAGAGCCAGCAACACAGCCGAGGAGACCATCAGCGCCATGAAGACGGTCCGCAGCTTCGCCAACGAGGAGGAGGAGACGGAGGTGTACTCGCAGAAGCTGCAGCAGGTGTACAAGCTGAACAGGAAAGAGGCGGCGGCCTACACGTACTACGTTTGGGGCAACGGGGTACGTGCCCCAGGCCCCAGGCAGGTCTGACCGTGGAGGATGGGACACACAGATGGGGGAGCCCTTGATGAGGACGTTAGCCCGGGTTCCTGCATGGTGGCATCGGGCTGGCTGCACTTGATGTCACTCGATCCCAGCTTTCTGCTTGTCAGTGGAGAGTCTTTCTGGAAAAGCATGCAGCTCCTGGGGACGGTCCTCACGGAGTACCCCTCTTTCCCTCTGGCCTGGGCATGGGTGGCAGGGTAGGAGCTTTCTTTTCTCAGCTGGGGAAACATTCCTGCCAAGGAGGGAGTCTCCTCAAGGCCAGCCGAGACCCAGCCTAGGCCACTTTCCGACAGATCCAGTGTCACAACCACACGCATCCCCCTAGAGTGTCCGGCTCACTCCGGGGGGTGTCACAGCCCCTCCCTGGAGGATGGGGAGCACATGGGTCCTGTCGCTGCCACGACAGGCCGCTGTCGTGGCCGTGGGCACGCCGGGTGGTAGCTGGGGCAGGAATGAGGAATTTAGGGGAAGAAGAAGCTGGTGGTCTACAGGGATCCAGGGGCAGGGACTCTCTGGGACAGGGACTCGCAAAAGTGCCCAGCCAGGCAGGAGAAGGGGCCCCAAATCCAGCTCAGCTCACCAAGTCTTAGCAGTCTGCCCACGAGCAGGGGCGCCTCTGTTGCTTGCACAAGGACACTTGAGGTCTAGCCAGGGCCTAGTTCTGGGGCCTGGGGGTGGGGAGGGGCAAATAAGGACCCTGACTGGGTTGTCATGGGCACTCAGGTTCCACTCCGCTCCCAGACACCCCCCAGGCACCAGAGGGAGGCAGGGGACCCCAGGACACAGCCCTCCTTCAGGGAACCTTGTGGGCGAGGAAACAGACGGCATCTTCTCTGCCTGGCTCGCTGTGTGGCCTTAGCCAGTGGACGTGACCTCTCTGAGCCTTGTTCTGCCCCATGAGGAGGAGCACTAATAGCTCCCCTTGGCCTAGCTGGGGCACTTGGGGGTTGCATGTGTGTGCCAGGGCCTTACAAAGAAAGCCTTGTTCTCAGCCAGGCCCATGGCCTGCTCCAGCTGGAGGCCTTTGCAGGGAAAAACTCCACAGCGGGGGAGGGGGAGGACGTGAGGGACAGACGGGCACCAGCACGTGGGAGGACATCCCTGCTCCTAGCTGGAGTTTCAGTTTGTGGCTGGGAGGGCACAGCCCACAGCTGCTCTCACCTCCCCTTGTAGCTTGGGGGCCAGGAATGGGGGCCGTGGGGGGCCGATCTGACCCACATCCCCCTCCCTCTGCCCCAGCTCACGCTCCTGGTGGTCCAGGTGAGTATCCTCTACTATGGGGGCCACCTCGTCATCTCAGGGCAGATGACCAGCGGCAACCTCATCTCCTTCATCATCTACGAGTTTGTCCTGGGAGACTGCATGGAGGTAAGGGGCTGGCTGGGGACGGGTCCCGGGAGAAGGGAGGGGCGTGTGGGGAAGAGGGACCTACATGGTGGGGTGCTCCAGGGTCCGAGGGATGTGGCATTTCTTTCTAAAGTAGGTAGGGGAGAGAACATAATAATACCAATGACAATAATACTGCCAACAAATGACGGCAACTCCATTTATCCAGCCAGGTGGTGGCAACAAAGGTTATTTCAGAAAAGGCTCGTAAGAGCTCCTGAGCGGTCTTCAGATTCCCATTTCTCAGAAAAGAAACTGAGGCTCAGTGAGGTTAAGTGACTTGCGTCCCACATTTGTGGGAGACTGGGTTCAAAGCCAGATGAATCTGGCTTTATTTTAACCCACTGTAAAGAGCAGCAACACGGAAAACACAGGGGTTCTTCTACACTATGCCTTATTTGGGTTCCCCCCAAGCGGATCCTGGGCCCTTGTGTCCACAGTGATGAAGCTCAAGGACGTGTCTGTGGGGACGGGGTGTAGGCATCTGCTGCAGGTGACACTTTGCATTGGACAGTCACACAGGCAGTGTCGTTTGTCTTAGCGTTTCTCCCTCTAGGAACCCACACCTCAGAATTACCCCCTCCAGGGGGCAGAGGTGTGGGCCCTGGATGTCAGCGCAGCATTGTTTATAACAGGGAGAGGGTGAAACACCCTCAGGTGCCCACCAGTCAGGGATTGGGTAAGTACGGTACATCTGTATTCCAGAAACAGTCCATCTGTTCTGTAAGTACCAGGCAGAGCCGCAGAAATGAGGTGGATCTGTGCGCACCGGCGTGGAAAGAACCGAAGATACACTGTTAAGTGAAAAATCTGATCCCTGAGCAATAGGGGTAGTCTGAGCCCATTTGATTTTTTTTTTAATCTCAAAATTATTTAATTGTATACGTGCATGTGTTTGTAAACACACAGAGAAAGCACTGGAAAGAGAGTACATGGATAACCAGGGATGAGGCATGAAGGAGAACTTGCATCTGAATATGCATAATAATATCTCGATATGAATGATCACAGTTGTCGCTGTGGTGCATCGAGGGCCGAGTGTGCCGAGCACTATCATCACAAAACCATGACACTGGCATTAACATCACCCCCACTTCAGCCAGGACACTCAGTCACAGTACGTGAGGGCCCAAACTCGGGAACCGGACATGCCTGGGCTCAAGTCCTGGCTCTGCCACGTGCCGGCTGTGTGACCTGGGGAAAGTTACTTGTGCTCTCTGTGCCAGCAAAAAGGAGATCATGATAGAACCTACCTTGTAACATGCACAAAGTGCTCAATAAGATGAGTCGTCATTATTATTCACATTTATGTTGTGTATATTTTTACCCAAGGAGAATGTAGAGTATAAATTAAGAGCCATTTTTAAAACTGAAATTTTAAAAATGCTGTGGCAGCAGAAAGAGGAAGGTCTGATCTCTGCTGGGCGGCAGTCTGGCTGGTTCACGGAACTTCCCTGCACTTCCGTTCCCCCCTCTGGGGGGCGACAGCACCTCCTCTGCTGGGCGGAGGGGAGCTTGAGCTGTGGGGACTCCGAGGCGCTGGCTCCTCGTGTTCTGATAAACGGCCGCGGTATTTTGTATCGCTGTCCTCAGTTTCTCCTTATCATTATCTGCTGTGCTAGCAGGTGGGGCTCCAGCAGCGCCCCGTGCCCCCCAGAACTGCTGCTGTGTCCCTGCTCTCTCTGCACCCCCTTCACTCTCTGGCACAATGGGGGGGTCCCAGCAGTGGGATGTTGGTGGGACAGGAACCCCGCAGTGTGTCTCCTCCCCCGCAGTCCGTGGGCTCCGTCTACAGTGGCCTGATGCAAGGAGTGGGGGCCGCCGAGAAGGTGTTCGAGTTCATCGACCGGCAGCCAACCATGGTGCATGATGGGGACTTGGCCCCTGACCACCTGGAGGGCCGAGTGGATTTTGAGAATGTGACCTTCACCTACCGCACTCGGCCCCACACCCAAGTCCTGCAGGTGAGAGGGAACCTCGAGGCCTGCCCAAATCATCCTTTCCCTCACCTCCTCTCGAGCACCTCCTGCAGGCCAGGCCGTGGCAGCACAGCCAGGAACAGGAAAGGCGTAGTCCCTCCCTCGTGGAGTTTGGGCTCTAGTTGGGGAAGACAGATCATTAGCAAAAGGATTCCAGGATAAGTGCTAGGAAGGCAGTAGATCAGGGTGGCATGACAGGGTTAGTCTGCAGAGATGGTGTTAACAGTCAAAGAGGGCTTCTTGGAGGAGCTGACTTTTGAGCCGAGACCTGAACCAGGAGCAGATGCCTCTACAGAAAGAACATTCCGGGCAGAGGAAGCAAGTATAAAAGTGCTGCCAACTCCTAGAAAGGAGAGCATTCTGGGGGACCAGCAGTGTGCCCAACCATGGCGTAGGCGCATGGGGTGGTCTGGGAAGGGTGCCTGCCCGCGTCTGAGGCCAGAGCATCTAAGCCAGTGGCCTCACACGGTGTCTGCCTGTTCCTTGCAGAATGTCTCCTTCAGCCTGTCCCCAGGCAAGGTGACCGCGCTCGTGGGGCCCTCGGGCAGTGGGAAGAGTTCCTGTGTCAACATCCTGGAGAACTTCTACCCCCTGGATGGGGGCCGCGTGCTACTGGACGGGCAGCCCATCAGCGCCTATGACCACAAGTACCTGCACCGAGTGGTATGTGATGGCTCTGCTGCCCCCCTCCGCCCCTTCTTTGTCTGACCTTCTGTCTCGGGACCTATGACAGACGCAGAGAGGAGCCTAAAGACAAATGATGGTTCAAAGAATTATCACCTATGTAACACCACCCAGGTCAAGAGATAGAATATTCTGGCACTCTAGAAGCCCCCCACGTATCCTTTCTCTTCCCCCCAGAAGCAGTGTCTCTCCTGACTTTTATGATCGTGATTTTCTTGCTTGTCCTTCGTCGTGCCGTCTCTGTGTGCCTCTGCAGACAGCACAGCTGTGTTTTGCCTGGCTTTGAGCTTCATCTGGCTGGAATCACGAAGCGTGTATTCGTGTGTGTCTTGCTTCTTCCACTCAGCATTATTTGTGAGTCATCCAGGTTGAGGCTGTGGTTGTAGTTCATTCATTTTCATTGCTGGATGATAATCCACTGTGTAGACTTGTCACAACCTGTTACGCATTCTGTGCTTGATGGATATTTGGGTTGTCTCTTGTTTTTTACTATTACTAGCAGTACTGATGTGGTCAATTTTGTCCGTGTTCCCCGGTTATGTTATACACATGGTTATGTTCTCCTGGAGTGGATGCATATCCTCAACTATAGTAGTTACTGTCATTAAGGTGGTCATACCACTTTACCTTCCCACTAGCAGTGGATGAGACTTCCAGTTGTTCCACAGTTAAGTCATCCCCAGTACTTAAAGGAGGCTATTCGTGACCATATGGTTTTTGGTAATCCTTTCAGAAAAGGAGCCTCAACACTTGATCCTGTGCTGGCATAAGAACAGGGATGCCCTGGATGATTGTTCAGGTTGTACACTATACAAGAAACACCAACTATTAAGGAGGTGCCGTTTATATCATTAATGTACATTAAATTATGTGAGAGCCTCAGGGTTGACACAGAGGTTCCAGAACACTCAGCCAAGTTCTAGATGATGACAGAGGCCACAGACTGCGGAATCTGCCCACCATGTGCATATAACAAGGGGTAGATGGCTGAGAAGTGATCCCAGGTGTTCAACCACCAGGCTGCTGCCCACAAAGTTCTGGAAGTGGCCCCTGGGCAGAGCTGTTCAGGCTTTGCAATAGTTAATACACTCAGACACTTAATATTCTCAGACAGTTAATAACTGTCAATCCTGAATTTTTGCCAGTTGGTGAGTGTGTAGAGAAGCTCATTGTGGTCTTCTGCATTTTCATGAGGACTAAAGATGTTAAGTACTTTTTCATATGGTTTATTCACCACTTGCATTTCCTTTTGTGAATACCTTCTCTTTAAATTAAAAAGTTTAATTTTCATAAACCTCAAACAGTAAAACGCAACAATCTAACCATATTCCCATATATTCAGAGAATTTTATAACTAATGTGCGAGGGCTGGCCCCGTGGCTTAGCGGTTAAGTGCGCGCGCTCCGCTGCTGGTGGCCCGGGTTCGGATCCTGGGCGCGCACCAACACACTGCTTCTCCGGCCATGCTGAGGTCGCGTCCCACGTACAGCAACTAGAAGGATGTGCAGCTATGACATACAACTATCTACTGGGGCTTTGGGGGGGAAATAAATAAATAAAATCTTTATAACTAACGTGCGAGTTCCCCTCCACCTCACCTTTTCAATTCTGCCCCATGGAGGTGAGCAGTGTTAGCAGTGTAGTAAATATCCCGTCCAACCTGTCTGTTTCCTGTCTTATTTAAACAGATCAATATGTAAAGGCACATATTTAGTTTTTTTAACAAAAATAAAATTGTGCTGTGTGTGTATATATATTGCAATTTGATTTTATGCATGCACTATAATTACTTAACCAATCCCCAATTTATGGACAACTAGATTGTTTCTTTTTCTTTTTTTGCTACTTACAGTGTTGCAGTGATATCCTCCATACTATCATTTTTGTAGGCCAAATTCCTAAACCTGGGACCATGGGACAACAGCTTCGTTAAATTGTTCTCCTAGAAGGGAGGGGCCAACAGCTAGGGAGGTCTCTGTGGCCTGGAGGCCTGCTGTGGCCTTGCCTCCTGGCCTGGACGCCTCCTGGCCTGGACGGACTTGCTCACAGAGCTACACTCTACGTTCTCGTTCTCTTTTCTTCCAGGACAGGGGCAGACAGCGAGCTCTCAGAGGCCAGGAAGCTGGCTTAGCCCAGAGCAGCAAGCTTAGTGGGCCTCAGTGTGTTGGGCAGGGGAGGCTGAGGGCTTGTGCAGAAAGTGGACTCCACTGTTTGCAAAGAGAAGCTGCTGAACGCAGCAGCTGGGCGTAGGCCCTGATCAGATGTCAGACCTGAGACCCCTGGCGTCAGCCAGGCCAGGGGCTGGCGAGGTTCCTGGCGACAGCTGGATGGACGCGGTCGTGGCTTCTCACGCCCCATCCTTCCTCCCCCGCAGATCTCCCTGGTGAGCCAGGAGCCAGTGCTGTTTGCCCGCTCCATCACGGACAACATCTCCTACGGCCTGCCCTCTGTGCCCTTTGAGATGGTGGTGGAGGCTGCACAGAAGGCAAACGCCCACGGCTTCATCATGGAGCTCCAGGATGGCTACAATACAGGTACAGAGCCCAGGAGCATCACCTCCACTGTGCCTGAAGGTCCACCCTCAGGGATGCAACCTGAAATTCATATGACATAAACTTAACCATTTTAAAGTGAACAATTCAGTGACATTTAATACATTCACAATACTGTATGACCACCAACTCTGTTTAGTTCAAAAATATTATTTTTAAATAATATATGTATATCATATTAGTTACAGTTACTTAATTTTATATGAATAAATTAACATTTTAATTAAATAAATTTAACAATATATTAGTTTATATTATATATTTTATTATATTTAATATACTTTAAAATTTTAACTCTTGAAAAGGGGTTATTCACATGGTTCAAAACTAAAAAATACATAAAATGATATGCAAAGAAAAGTTTATTCCATTCCTTTCTCCACCCCCCGTTTCCTCCTGTCGCCACCAAAACTTCTTGCATTTGTTTCTTACGTGTCTTTTTGGAGTTTCTTTATGCAAATAGGAATATATATTTTTATTCCCTCCCACCCTTTTACAGAAAAAAACCCAGCACCTTATATTCTTCACCTGCCTTTTTTAACTTAACACAGTGTCTTGCAACATTTCCAGATTGATACCTAGACAGCTGCCTTCTTTCCTTTAACAGCTGCATGGTATTCTAGTGTATGGGCTTTATAATAATTTACTTGATAAATAATTTATTTATTCAGTTTCCTATTGATGGACATTTGAGTAGGATTTTGTTTTTGCAATAATGGCGCTCTGAGTCATGCACATGTGCCTACATCACAGTGCGGGGGAAAGTTGATCTGGAGGGAAAACTCACAGCAGTGGGTTTGCTGGTGCAAGGGGTGTGATCCGTAGACTTGCACAGTACAAACCCATGGGCACAGAAGTGTGTGCACTGCGGCCCTGTTATTGCGAGCTCTGGGGGCTGGACCAGCTGTGCTGGCCCCAGGAAGACGGGGGAGTGCCTGCTTCCCCACAGCCACGCCAGCACGGTGTATTATCAAACGTTTGGAGTTCTGCCAGTTTAATGAGTAAAAATTGGTATCTTGGTACTAAGTGCGTGTAGTTGTAATTTGCATGCCTCTGTGAACAGGGAGGGGAGCATCCTTTCATGAGTTTGAGAGCTGTTGGTAGTCCAGCCGGTGGCACTTTTAGCCACACCTTTTCCTGGAGAGGGTGGCTCCCACTGTGGCAGGGAAAGGCAGAGGAAGGGGGCTTCTCGCTCTTCCCTAAGACTGCCCCCACCTCACCTTCTGCTCATGTGCCCCTGTGCCTCCACCACGCAGAGACGGGGGAGAAGGGCGCCCAGCTGTCCGGCGGCCAGAAGCAGCGGGTGGCCATGGCCCGGGCTCTGGTGCGGAACCCACCTGTCCTCATCCTGGACGAAGCCACCAGCGCCCTGGATGCCGAGAGCGAGTACCTGGTGAGTTGTGGGGTGGCGGGGTGATGTTGGAGCAGGGAGCAGCTCCAGGTGGCCAGAGTCCCCCCTCCACCCAGCAGACGGGCGCTGGGAAGGGCCGGGAGGTGGCCACAGGGGCCCTTCTGGGACATCAGCTTCCCGGACTGGGGTGTTCCTGTCTGAGGGCGGGGAGCCGGGGAGAGGAGGCTCAGGGCCTGGGCTGAAGCTGTATGATCAGGGTTAGTCAGGAGCGTGGACGAGGAGCTCCGCCCTGCAGCTCAGAACCTGAGCAAGTCTCCTCCCCTCTCTGAGTCTCATTTCCACTGGTAAAGAGGGTCCAGTGATGATTTGTAGCTGACTGGCTCCCTCCGTCTCTCCGCGGATGGACCCGTTGATTACCCAGGTGTTCACTGAGCTGCTCGCGGTGCCCGGCCCTGGGGTTCCGCTGGCGGCTGACCAGACGGACAGAGGCCCTGCCCCCTTGGAGTTTCCATTCCAGGGGGGAAAACAGATAATAAACAAGGAGACAAGCAGGAGTTCAACCTGTGGCCTGTGCTACATAGAAAGTGAAACTGTCGTGTGACAGAGATTGAGGGGGCCACCGCTGTCAAAGAGACACACAGCCAGGCATTCATTAAAGCTGGAAAAACAGATTTGATTCAGTAACTACTGACAGATGGGGAAAGGGCTGAGCTCCTTTCCGATTTGTGCAGAGGATACAGTGGTGAGGGGCGTTGTAAAGGGAGGATGAGGGTGTGGGGAGGGGAGAGAGCAGGGGCTCAGGGGAGAGCTGACAAACAGTAGGTCAGTGTGAGTGCGATTGGTCCAGCTGGGTCTGCTAGCTGGCCGCCATTGAAGTCAGGATTCCATCCTCCCATAGAGACTGGGAGACAGGCCCTGTCCTTCCAGATGATTCCATTTCAGAGGAATGGCTCTCAGGTCCTTGAGAAAGACACTCCTGAGATGTAGGAGATTCTTACATATAGCTCAAAGGGACAGAGGAAGGATTTACAGTTATAAGCCCTTTTTAGTAAATGCTCTAAGAAAGGGAGGTCCGGCATCTACTTTCAGGTGTTGGCTAGAACAAACAGTCCATTCTCCTGGCAACGCTGAGCATTAGGGGGCTGGGGTCAGCCTAGGGACCTTATGCTGTGGAAGCCCTGCTGGAGTGTGGGTCTCTTAGTGCAGGGTGCGGGTGGACTCGTGCGTACTGAGTCTGCAGTTCACACCGACAGAACCAGGGTCATTGGGTACCATTTGAGCTGAGACCCAAGGAAAGGACCAGCCGGGGGAAGTTCTGGGGTAAGAGCATCCCAGGAAGAGGGGGCAGCGGGTGCAAAGTTCCAGAGGAAGTTCACAGCCAAGCCCGAAGGTCAGCGTGTCTGGTGGGTGGGAGTTAAACAGAGCGAGGCGAGGACAGCGTCATAGGGAGACAGAATCTCCTCTGGCCCTTGGAAGGAGTTTGGATTTTTTTTTTCAATTAATAGGTTTTACTTTTTAGAGCAGTTTTAGGTTTAAAGAAAACTGAGCAGAAGTACAGAGAGTTCTCATATATCCCTTTTCCCCCACAGTTTCCCTTATTATTAACATCCTGCACGAGAGTGGTCCATTTGTTACAATTGACGGACCAGTATTAATGCATTATTGCCAACTCAAGTCCGTGGTTTACGTTAGGGTCACTCTCTGTGCTGTACGTTCTATGGGTTTTGACAAGTGCAGAATGTCATGTGCCCACCATCGGAGATACAGAATAGTTTCACGGCCCCAAACCTCCCCCGGGAGTTTGCACTGTATCCTAAGTGGAACGAGAAGCTATTGCATGGCTTGGAGCAGGAGTTCCACAGGAACTGACTAAACATTTAAATCCATGTGGGGAATGGAAAAGGGCGCAGGGCGGGAGAGTTGCCAGCATCCGGGCGAGAAGCAGTGATGGTGGAGGTGGAAAGAGGAGACAGAGTGAAATAAACTTGGGAGACAGGATCTGCATGATTTGCTAATGCAGGGATTGGGTGATAAGGGAAGGATGAGGACTCAAAGGTGATGGCTTTGGGGCTGATGGTGAGACCATGACTCAAGGCCAAGGTTAGAGGAAGGAGCAGAAGGACCAGAAGACGACCAGGTGGGGCTCGTCTATCACTCACGAGCCTCCCCTCGTGTGGGCACTGAGCTTCGTCCCCGTGAACAGAACCCAGGAAGCAGGGCCTGTGCAAGCCCTCCCTTCACAGACGAGAACCTGGGCCTCCGAGAGGTTAAGCCTCACTAAGAAGTGGGGGAGCTAGGATCTGAGCCAGGACTGGGCGGGGTTGTGGGTGGCCTGGGTGGCGCCCGTGTGAGCCGGCCCCTCCTGTTCCCCAGATCCAGCAGGCCATCCACGGCAACCTGCAGAAGCACACGGTGCTCATCATTGCGCACCGGCTGAGCACGGTGGAGCGGGCGCACCTCATCGTGGTGCTAGACAAGGGCCGCGTGGTGCAGCAGGGCACACACCAGCAGCTGCTGGCCCAGGGCGGCCTCTACGCCAAGCTGGTGCAGCGGCAGATGCTGGGGCTCGAGCCCGCCTCGGACTACACAGCTGTCCACAAGGAGCCGCCGGGCAATGGCAGTAACAAGGCCTGACTGTCGGCCCCTGCCTCTCCTGGTGGGGCAGAGGCCCTGGTGCCCCCCTGGCAGATGTACCCATTGGGGCCCCCGGCAGCCTCCCGCTGCCCTCCGAGCCCAGGCCCACAGCACTGGAGGGTGACCTGCCATGTCCCACATGTCACCGCTTCCTGCATCTCGCCCCCAGTTCCCACCCTGTTCCCAGGCCACCACCAGCCCCTCGCTGCCATGAGCCACCCCCTCCAGTCTGGACAGTGGAGACACGGCTGGTCTCTCCATCTGGTCTCCCAAGGCTGGTAAGCAAAGGTAGAGCCACCTTTTTAAACCAAGATCTTACCAGGTTTTTTACTGCTTGGTTCGATGGGCCCCAGTCAACTCCTAGATTTCAAAATCATTTTTCTAATTGGGAGGAATGGTGGGCAAGTTCACTGAGATGTTCTAGAAACTTCTGAGCCAGGAGTGAGTGACCCTTCCTAATAGCCTGGGGGATGTCGGAGGGAACTAGCCCTCTACCCTTTGCCCCTCGACAGACGGGGCTTCCCTGTCCCAGAGGGAGGACATAGGCAGGGGACTTTCTGTCTTCCCAGCTTAGTGAGTCAGGCCAAGGACGGGCAGGGGGAGTGGCAGGCGCCTGTCTGCCCATCACCCCTGCTGCCCTGCGAAATCCAAGCCAGTCTCACTGTGAACCACTACGAACCTCAACTTGGGGGAGTGAGGGGCTGGCCAGGCCTGGCAGAGCCTCAGGGCGTCCCCGGCCCAGCACCCAGCTTTAGCCCTTTGGCCCTGCCTCGTCCCTCACTCCCCTCCCCCTGCCTGGCTGGCACGCCTCCCCCACACCCACCCTGCAGCTCTGCTGTTCAAGGCCCTTTGGATGTTTGCGAGACGCATCCTCTTCCTGTCCGGTGGATGGGATGGTGGCAAAGCCCAGGGTCTGGCTTTGTGGGGGGTTGCAAGATGTTGGGAGAATCTGGTCAATAAAGTGTACTACCTCTGACCCCTGACCTGTGATCCCTTTCTGCACCCTCTGCCCCTTCACCGGGTTAGGTTTTTCCACCAGACCCAGCTCTCCTCCCGCCCCTGTCTGGTGTAGTTGTGGAAAGACCTTGGGTGGTCTACGGCCTCCCGCAGGTCTGGGAGCCCCTCATCTGTGCTCTTCATGTCCCCAGGATCTCTAGTGCAGACATTCGTGTCTGTCTGTCTATCTCCATGGGGCTTGTGCAGGGTAATAGAGACTTGTCTCTTCTAAATGCCTGGACGTCTGTGCCTCCCAGGAAATGAGACCCATTTGCTGAGACCCAGCAAATGCCACCTGTTCTTTTCTATCAGGGACCAGGCACCCCACCATGCTGCAGCCCATGGAGCTGAGCAGCGTTACCCGACAGAACCGCTTGGTCAGAAGGAGGCCTAGCGCTGGACACAGGAAGCCCTCTGTGGTCGTGATCATTGGCTCGATTGTGCTGGTCTGCGGTCCCAGGAGGGGGGCTCGGGCAGTGGCTTTTTACCACCTGAGAGAAATGTATTTCTGTATTTTAACTACTGGTCCTTACATCACACTGCAGAGACCAGCTCAGTGACAGCCATGTACCTATTTTCCTGCCAAATAAACCAAGGCCTAGGACCCAGACTGTGGCCAGCTGGGTCCCCTGCATGCCCTCAGGGGCTTGTACCTGCCTTGAGCATCTTATCTATCCAGGACTCTCTGACTCCCTCCCTGAAGAAGCCATTATGAGCCCTAGAACTGGGTCCCATGGCAAGAATGTGCTCGGGCCCAGGCTGGGTTTCCAGGTGTAATCTGAGAGACACCGGTACTGAGTGTCCATTCCCATTTAATCCTCACAACAACCAGTTTTCTCCCCATTTCAGAATTGAGGAATCCAAAGCTCAGAGAGGTTAATTGATTTACCCTACGCCACACAGCCAAGACCCCACAAGCTGAACCCACAAAAGTAGAGAACTAAAAAGATATGAGGCATCTTGTTATCTGGACTCTTTAGCTGTGCTTACACCATTCCATAATAAAAATAAATAAGTAAAAATTTTTAAGTGCTATTAAAACCCAACAAAATACATAGGTGAGGGCCAGCGCCGTGGCTTAGCCGTTAAGTGCGCGCGCTCCGCTACTGGCGGCCCGGGTTCGGATCCCGGGCGCGCACTGACGCACCGCTTCTCCAGCCATGCTGAGGCCGCGTCCCACATACAGCAACTAGAAGGATGTGCAACTACGACATACAACTATCTACTGGGGCTTTGGGGAAAAAAAAAGGGAGGGGGATTGGCAATAGATGTTAGCTCAGAGCCGGTCTTCCTCAGCAAAAAGAGGAGGATTAGCATGGACGTTAGCTCAGGGCTGATCTTCCTCACACACACACACACAAAATACATAGGTGAGCTAAATTCAGGCAGGAGGAAAATTGAAACAGCTGTAAGTGACTTCCCCATTTGTTATCCCCTCTCTGGGCCTCATTGTTGTCGCCTGTAAAAGGAGATGCGTTGCAAGGATGGAGGGAGAGATAGAACCTCCTTCCTGGGGAGCTCAGGCTCCTTGGCAGGAGGGTGTGTTAGTTTCCTGGTGCTACCATGACAAATTCCTACAAACTGGATGGCTTAAAACAACAGAAGCTTATTCTCTCCCAGTTCTGGAGGCCAGAATTTCTGCCGTCAAGGTGTCAGAAGGGCCACACTCCCTCCGAAGGCTCTAGGGGAGGCTCTGTCCTTGCCTCTTCCAGCTTCTGGTGGCTCCAGCTGTTCCTTGGCTGTGGACACATCACTCCAGTCTCTGCCTCCATCATCACATGGCCTCCTCTGTGTGTCTCACATCTCCCTCTGCTGTCTCTTATCAGGACATTTTTCCTTGGATTTAGGGCCCATGTGGATAATCCGGGATGATCTCTTCTTGAGACCCTGAATCACATCTGCAAAGACTTTTTCCAAATACGGTTACATTCACAGGATCCAGGGATCTCACATGGACCTCTTCTCGGGGGAACTTGCAGCCTTCGTCCGAGTGGCTTTGCACCCTTGCTCCGCCCCTCCTCGGGGACCGCTGCCCTGGCGCAGGGCCACCTCAAGACTTCCTGTTTGGTTTTGGGGGCAGGGGAGGGCCAGGCTGGGGTCAGCTGGTTATGAAGGGGGTTGTGGAACTGACCGTAGAGGCTCCGTGCTGGCCTGGCCTGCTGCCAGGTTCATGTGTTCCCTTGTCAATCCGATTCTGTCATTCGGCTGCTGAACACCCTCCCATAGAGTCAGTGCATCAAATCCAAACACCTGCCCCTGGCTGCTGGACCCCTGTCTACGTTTCAGCCTCAGATTTGACCGTCAGTTGCTCTGCTCCAGCCACACTGGCCTTCTTCCTCCTGGTCCTTGAGCAAGCCAAGCTCATTCTTGCCTCTGAACCTTAACACTGGCTGTTGCTTCTGCCTGACACACTGTTCCTTCCAATCGGTTCCCAGCTCCATACTTCTCATTCCTCTCTCAGCTCATATGTCTCTTCCTCCTTGACAAGTCCTGAATGTTGGGTTCCTCCCAGTCACCCTGATCTGTTTTCGTCACAGCACTTGTCACCTCCTGAAATTTTCTCTGCCTTGTTTGTTCTGTTCCAGGCACAGGTCTACATGCTTTGCATGAGCTACGTCACTTAATCCTCATAAAACCCCTAAAAGGCAGGTACAATGTTATGCCCGTTTACAGATGAGGAAACTGAGGCACAGAGAGGTTGAGAGACCCAAGACCACCCAGCTAGTAGGGGGTAGAACCAGGATTCACACCCAAGAAGCATGTGTGTTTGACCTCAACCACAGAACAGCTGTGAGGTTGAAGATTTAAGGACATGGGCTGGGGAGGGTATATTGACATTGCTGCAAGGGCTACAGATCAAATATTAGCCTTGAGTTCTCAAACATAAGTGCTTCCAGGAACCAGGCAGATATCATAAGGGAGTGAAGCCGCCAGGTGTAAGAAAAATCAGACAACATTCTCGGTTTCTCTTTTGCTTTTCCACTTTGACGTGGTGCAGAGAAATCTTTCTGTTCCATTAAAAACAGAATATGGGGCAAGCTTGAGGATAAATGGCACCAAGTCTCCGTATCAGTAATCAGTGACAATAGGGGGTGGTGGGGACTGTGGCAAACAGGAGAGCTTTTACCCATTTAAAGGGGATGGCTTGGACTTGGCTCCAGCCCCCTGGGGCCATGCAGGAAGGCGGCCTTGAGTTAGCAGATCTTCAGATGTTTCCAGAGAAGTTGGAAATTTGAATTTTAATGTAAGATCGACTGCTTTTTATAGATTGGCTCAAATTATTTTTAGAAAACCGAGGGTCTATATAACATATCTCCAGGCAGTCTTCAGCCTGTGGGTCACCAGTTTGCAACCTCTGTGCTGGACATTCTTGTTCCCCAAAGTCCTTGGAGCTTCCCCATCAAGGAGTTTGCACCTGCCATGGGGGCCCCCAGCCCAACCCCATTCCAGCCCAAACTCCTGTCTCCTCTGTTCCCACCTGCCCATCTCTTTGCCTCATCCCTCCCCTCCCAGGCTGGGGACTCCGGATTCTTCTCCCTCTCCCATGCCAAAGAGTCAGCTCCAATTTGCAAACTCAAACCCAAAAGTGGGCCCTAGGCAGACAAAAGAACCTTCCAGAGACCAAACTAGTCCCTCTTTAGGAGGCAGATAAGACTTTTTAAAATAAATGTTTTATTTTACAATGATTTTAGATTTACAGAAAAGTTGCAATGATAATAGAAGTAGGTCCTATATACCCTCAGCCGGTTTCTCCTTATGTTTACATCTCACATGATCGTGGTACATTTGTCACAACTGAGAAACCAACACTGGCAATTGCTGACAATAAAACTCCAAGCTTTTTTGTATTTCACCAGTTTTTCCACTAATGTCCTTTTTCTGTTCCAGAATCCAATTCAAGGTACCACACTGCATTTAAAAATACGTGGGGTTTTTTTTTTCCTGAGGAAGATCGGCCCTGAGCTAACATCTGTGCCCATCTTCCTCCACTGTATATGTGGGACGCCGCCACAGCATGGCTTAATAAGCGGTGCGTAGGTCCGCACGGGATCTGAACCTGCGAACCCTGGGCCACTGAAGCGGAGCATGTGAACTTAACCACTACGCCAGCAGGCCAGCCCTAAAAATACATTTTTTTAAATTGTTTTTATTATGATAAAATACACATAAAATTTCCATTAATGACATTTAGTATACTCACAATCTGGTGCAACCATCACCATTGTCTAGTTCCAGGACATTTTCATCATCCCCCAAAAGAACCCTGTACCCATTAACAGTCACCCTCCATTCCCCTCTCCTCTCAGCCCCTGGCAACCACCAATATGCTTTCTGTCGCTGCAGATTTGCCTGTTCTGGATATTTCATATCAATGGAATCATACACTATGTGTCCTTTAGTGTCTGGCTTCTTTCACTTAGAACATCATGTTTTCAAGTTTCATCCAGGTTGTAGCACGTGTCAGTGCTTCCTTCCTTTTTATTGCTGAATAATATTCCACTGTATTGATGGACCACATTTTGTTTATCCATTCATCCACTGATGGACACTTGGGTTGTCTCCACCTTTTGGCTATTGTGAAGAGTGCTGCTATGAACATTCATGTTCTTGTATAGACATATGTTTTCAATTCTTTTGGGTGTATACCTAGGAGGTGAACTGCTGGGTCAGATGGTAATTCTGTGTTTAACATTTTGAGGACCTACCAAACTGTTTTCCACAGCAGCTGCACCATTTTACACTCCCACTAGCAAAGTATCCGGGCTCCAATTTCTCCACATCCTCACCAACGCTTGTTATTTTCTGTTTTTATTTATTGACT